TAGAAGAAAAAAAAGAGAAATAGAGATAAAGAGAGAAAATAGAGAAGTAGGCCCCAATCACAATTCTTCTTTCTCTTCTACTACAATTTGTTTGCCATTTTAATCAGTCTTGGGAATGGTGACTGCACACACACACCTTAGTAGACAGACACAAAAAGTAATTTTTTGTAAAAGACTGTTGGCATGTTCTAAAATGGATACATTTATAAAAAGTCCTATGCTAAAGAGAGTTAAGAACTTTTCAGAATTTTTGCTAAGCTGTTGCTTAATCACACAGTCACAGAATTCACTGAGTTGGAAGGGACCCGCAAGGACCATCGAGTCCAACCTTAACTCTGCACAGGACCATCCCCAAGAGTCACACCATGTGCCTGAGAGTATCATCCAAACACCTCTTGAACTCTGTCAGGCTTGGTGCTGTGACCACTGCCCTGGGGAGCCTGTTCAGTGCCCAGCCACTCTCTGGGGGAAGAACCTTTTTCTAATATCAACCTAAACCTCCCCTGGCACAACTTCAGGCCGTTCCCTCAGGTCCTGTCACTGGTCACCACAGAGAAGAGATCAGTGCCTGCCCCTCCTCTTCCCCTCCCAAGGAAGTTGTAACTGCAATGAGCTCTCCCCTCAGTCTCCTCTTCTCCAGCTGAACACACCAAGTGCCCTCAGCCGCTCCTCACACGGCTTCTCCTCAAGGCCCTTCACCATCTTCACTGCCCTCCTTTGGACCACTCTCTAATGGCTTAATATCTTTCTTATACTGCAGTGCCCTAAACTGCCACAATATTCAAAGGTGACATTGCCCCAGGTCAGAGCAGAGTGGGACAATCCCCTCCCTCGACTGGCTGGCGATGCTTTGCCTGATGCCCCCAGGACAGGGTTGGCCCTCCTGGCTACCAGGGCACTGCTGACTCAGATTCAACTTGCCATCGACCAGGACCCCCAGGTCCCTTTCCTGGCACTGCTTTCCAGCCTCTCATTCCCCAGTCTGTACGAACATCCAGGGTTGCCCCATCCCAGGTGCAGAATCAGCACTTCCCCTCATTGAACTTCATATGGTTGGTGATTGCCTAGTCCTGATTTGTCCAGGTTTCTCTGCAGGGCCTCCATGCCTCCAAGGGAGTGAACAGCTCCACCCAGTTTTGTGTCATCTGCAGACTTGCTCAGTATCCCTTCCAGTCCTGCGTTTGAACCGTTTATGAAGATGCTGAAGAGCACAGGGCCTAAGATGGAGCCCTGCAAAATCCCACTAGTTGTACCAGCTGTATGACATTCCCAGTTAATTTCTGGCAAGTTGAAGTCCCCCCTAAGGACTGGGGCAGTTGACTTGGAAGTGTCCCTTAGTCCCTCAAAGAGTAATTCATCAGCATCATCATCCTGGCTGGGAGGTCTGTGGCAGACTCCCACAATGACATTTACATTATTTGTTTGCCCCTTGATTCTTACCCAGAGGTTCCCAACTGTGCCACTGCCAACTGTGAGCTCCATCATCCTGACCTTTCTACTACACACAGTGCCACCCTTCTGCCTCTTCTGCCCTTCCTGTCCCTCCTGAAGAGCCTGGAACCAACCAACAGGGCACTCCAGTCACAGGTCTCATCCCACCAGGTTTCACTTATGCCAATGATGTCAAATCTCTCTTCAAAGCTGGAATTTACAGGCATGTGATGGGACACAAAAAAGTAGCTTCTTATCTGGGTCTGCTCTATTTCATATAAGCCAACGTGGTAAACAACACGGGGGCAAAAGCTTTGGTCTGCTTCTACCAGAAGTTTTGATAAGTAACTATCACCCAAGTTATTCACCAGGTCTTACAGGAGATGCAAAAAGACCCACTGAGAAATCTGGCTTACAACAAAGCAACGGAGAATTTCTCATTTCTGAGGTTTGGATGCTGCGATTCAGCAGCAGTCTATGAGCAAGAAATTTCCTTGTCAGAGCTAATTTTTAAAATATCCCAAAGTTTGCTGAAATCTGTATCACACTGGAAGTTATTATTTCCAAAGGAAACACTTCTAGAGGAAATGCCAAAATTTCCAACAGTGTGATGGGGCCTGGGAGGATGCTCTGAAACTGCAGGATATCCAAGAACACAATCTGTAGCCAAGTAAAATGAAAATCGCTTATTTCTGCCTTCTAAAAACCAAAGAAATCCTCAATTGCAAGGGTATTGGAAGGTGCAAAGTATTAATAATGAAAAATAAAAATCTTAAAATAAATTTCCATCTTCCCACTAACACCAGTTTAAGACCACTAAAAACCATAGCACATGCTATCAGCTCTGTTACCATCTACTGGTCTTGCATAAATACAGTTTGATTGGTGTAGAAAAACTCCTCTGGCATATGGAAAGATGAAAATTTGGCATATGTCAAATGGAAAGACATATCAAGCTCCTGACAGCTCTAATAGCTCATTTCTGGAAAAGGTGTACAGCTGCTCCAAAGTTCAGGTAAATTCTTCCAGAAAAGTTATTCCCAAATTTTTGGCATCACTTAGATCAGAGAAGACACAAAATTTAGCCTGCTACATTACACTTCCACAACAAAACTATTTTTTCAAGAAGTCCTTATTTTCTATTCCATCATGCCATGGCTGCACATACATGGGCTACATGTATCTAATGTACTTTCCCCTCACAAGAGCCTTTTAAGACCGTCTCTCATCACATCCCCATGGACAAACTGATGCAGTCCAGGCTAGGAAAGTGGACAGTCAGGTGGACTTCCAATTGATCAAATGCTGAGCTCACAGGGTTGCCATCAGCAGCACGAAGTCCACTTGGAGGCCAATCACTAGCAATGAACCACAAGGATTGAGAGTGGGGCTGATACTGTTTAACATCTTCACTAATTACCTGGACGATGGGGCACAGTGTCCCCTTGGGATGTCTGCACACAATACGTAACTGGGAGGAGTGGTTGATACAGCAGATGGGTCTGCAAATGGGCCTGCTGCCACTCAGAGACACCCTGACTGACTAGAGAAATGGACTGACAAGAAATTCGTGAAGTTCAGTAAAGGGAAATATCAAATCCAACACTTGGGGAGGAATAAAACTATGCCTTTCCTCACACTGGGAACTAACTGTATGGAAAGAAACCTGGAAGAGATCACCCAGTCATTTGCCCTTTGTGCAAAGACCTACAGCACCTGAGACTACATTAGGGAGAGCCTCACTAGCTGGTTGAGGGAAATACTCTATTCCTTCTACTAAGCCATATCACATATGGGTGCCTGGGTTCAGTTCTGAGCTTGCCACCACAAGAAAGCCATGGGTGTACTGGAAAAAGTCCACTGAAGCATTACACAAAACTGATGATGGGAAGAAAGCATCTGTAATACAAACAACTATTTAGAAGAGCTGGGTATGTTTACTCTCAAGAGAAGAAAGCTCAGCAGGGATCATAACAATGTGTATAAATACCTGATGAGGGGGTAGTACAGAAAATGCAGTCAGACTCTGACCTTTTAACTCACTCAAGAGTGACTAGCAAAAGGATAAAAAACAACACACACAAACTGAAATACAAGAAGTTCAGTTTAAACATCAAAAAAAGCTTTTCTAATAGCTAGGCTGGTCAAGCACTGGGACCAACTGCCCTGAGAGCTTGCAGAGTCTTCATCCTCTCAGATATTTAAAATAGGGAGTGGACATAGTCCAGACCAACCTGATCTATTTGACCTGCTCTTAGACGGAGGGAGGTTGGACTGAATGATCTCCAGAGGCATCTTCCAGCCTCAACTCTCCAGTAATTTCATGGTTCTTTGAAATTCTCAGCCAAGTGTACCAAGAATTCAGCATCACTGAAAATGGATTGCTTTACAAAAATATTCATAGCATTCTTTATTGTCCCTTTTCCATAACTTGGATTTTCTTCCCAGCCTTCCCAGCCTACCCACCATTAAATTTCTGGCAGCTGTTTTCACTTGGTACCTCAGTACTGAGAGGGCCCTCCCTTCAGCCTCCTGCCAGCCACACTAAGAGCTGCTCTCAGAAGACCATAATCAAAGCTGACTGGTGAACAGTAACATTCAAAGCGTGCAAAAGCCATTCAACCAGTAAATGTTACATCCTCCGAGCAGGAAAACTGGGTAGGAAGGGAAGAACCACGACGATCTTACCTGCATCAGCAATATGCTCTCTGCGCATGTACTCCCAGAGCAAAGTCAAGCCAATCCTCAGTCTGTAGATACGGAGTAGGACATACCCTAAGCTTGACCACAGTTTTAACATCCCCAGCCATGCCTTAGAAGCAAAGGCAACACAGGCCTCACCTTGAACTTCTGCGACAAATCAGAAAACCTCTCCTCCTAAACCAGAAAAAACCTGATTCCCAACCCCACAAACTTAACTTTAGATAGCCTGCTACACTGTTTCCAATACTACTAGAAGGAGAAAGATCCTGTCCAATGCTAAAAGTCCTTTCCTTCCACGCTAAGGAACGCTTTTGTGGAATTTCAACTTTATTTGCAATGCAGACAACTATGTTATTGAAATGAGTAAGGCTCCTCAGGAAAGAAGACACAATTTGATATAATAACAAAGAAAACTAGTTCTGATATGAGAGATACTACATGCCACAGTCTTAAACTGTATGTATATCTATTTTGATGCAACCAAAGGCTTGTAATGCTCAAGAATCAGTGACAAATAGCCATCTACCTCTTCTCGGTATTAATCAACTCAGATGACATTTTTTAATTAATTATCACCTGAGTAGTATTTATGAGGCCCATTAACAGACCAAAATCATGCTGGTATAGGTATCTGATCCTTGCAACACTTTTGGAAATCTGTTTTGAGGATTAGACATCAGGGTATGCATCTTTCCCTGGTTCTAAAACCAAAACATTAATAAAACAATTAGAAATTAAACCCTTCTGAGAACTCAGTAAACTCTTCCACCCTAATATTTAGTTAGCATTTTATTTACAATGGGCAATATTTCTTTGAAAAACTATTCCAGCTCCCACCTCTGCAGCACGGAGAGTATTCAGCTTACCTGAAAATAGAAGAAAGCTTGGCCAAACCAGTAGTGCATGATAGTAATCTGCGCCGCATCAAATTTCAAAGGTCTCCAAATGTATTTTGTCATCATTGTCTGAATCAGCAGGCAAAACACCAAGACTGGTAAATTGTGAGGTCTAAATAGAAGGGCTGCTAGTAGAACCAATCCGCTATATACTTCCCACAATCCTGTGCTCTTCATGCTGGAGTCTGCAGAAATAACCTGTGACTTTAGTAAATCTTTAGTGCCAGTGAAGACTATGCCAAGAACAAAGACATAAACAAAACGAGCTTCAGTGATCCCCCTAAAGAGAAAATAAAATTGGAATAAATAAATAAATAAATAAAAGATGAGTTATTTACTAATACTTACTTCACACACTCTTTCAAGAGAGGTCAAGACCAACCGGTTCTGCCAAACAGGTCAAAATCTAAGGCTGGTACTGGCCAACTTCATGAGAGAGCTTTCTCCAATACAAAAACCCTAGGAAGGGTTCATACTTGAATTAAAACAACTCCAAATCGACTTCAGCAAAGAAAAAAGCTTGTGCTAAAAAACTAAATTAATGTAAAATATAAAAATAAAATTGTATTTCACAGATTTCACAGAATATTCTGAGTTGGAAGAGACCTACACTGATCATCAAGTTAAACCCTTAAGTCACTCTCCCATACAAGGATCGAACAACTAATGTAACCAAAATAAATTTATGCTAATACTATTCAAGATCTAGATCCATAAATATATCCATACAAATATGCCATTTATATATCATAATGAATGTTAATAAAAAATACTCCTTCAAGAGATATGGAAACTTTATTTCAGAAACTAAATTGACTTAAAAACTCCTATATCTTTTAAGCTGTTCAGTGATTTTTCACAACTCATTCACACAAATATGCTTCTTTTTAGCCCACTAAAAAACAACAGCGAGAGTATTTGAAGATCCTTATTTCAGTCTGAAATCTCTACACACTTCAGACATTTTCTCACCTTACACAGCTGCATAGATGTACATATGTGCTGGTTTATACCAGCATATTTTTTCCTTGTTAAGTGTAAAGACTTTTCAAATCCATTTGAAGAAAGCAATTCCACTACAAAAAAACCCTGAGTTTTAAGTAGTAAGTGTAATTGGCATTTATGCTATTTTCAAACCACCTATTAATTCATTTGCCTCTTAATTACCAGTGAAGGGCAGCTTCTGAATAAAACACAGCATGTAGTCCAAAAAGCTGATAAGGACAAGGATTAGTAATCTTAAAAACTGTGACCTGCTATTTTAGAAGAGCAAGGTCTGAAAAACTAAGAAAGCGAAAGCAAATATCCGTCAAAATGTAGTGACATTCTCATGTTTTCTGGGCAAAAAAAAAAAAACGGATCACACTAGTGTGCGCTAGGCTGTCAATAATCCAATGAATTCACCAAATGAGCACGTGAGAAAAATCTGTGGTTACAGATCTATTTTTTTATCTTGCAAAAGATAAAAATGCACATTATCTACACATTTAATCTGTAATTTAATATACATTATCCTTAGGTTTCACAGGATCACTGACACACAGAATGGGTCAGGTTGAAAGGGACTACAGAAGGTCCTCTGCTCCAGCCTCCAGCAGGTTGGCCCCCAACCAGGTGCAGGACCCTGCATTTGCCTTTACTCGAATTTCAGGTTATTCTCTGCCCAGCTCTCCAACCTGTCGAGGTCCTTCTGAAGGGCTGCACAGCCCTCTGGGGTACTGGCCACTCCTCCCAGCTTTGTATCACCAGCGAACTTTCTGAGGAGGCATCTGCCTCTTCGTCCAAGTCACTGATGAACAAGTTAAACAATACTCGGCCCAGTATTGAACCTTGGGGGACACCACTAGTGACAGGCCTCCAACAAGACCCTGTACCACTGATTATGACATTCTGGGATCTGCGTTCAGCCAGTTCTCAATCCACCTCACTGTCCTCTCATACTGTTCACCCTTCCTGAGTTTGCCTACAAGGATGTAGTGAGAAACAGACAAAAGTCTTGCTGAAGTCAAGGTCAACAATATCCATTGCTCTCCTCTCATCCATCCAGGTAGCTGTCTATTGTAGAAGGCAATCGGGTTTGTTAAGAACAATTTACTGTTAGTGAATCCATGATGACTACTCATGATCACCTTTTTTTCATCCATGTGGGTAGAGATGGCCTCCAAAATGAGGTGTTCCATCACCTTTCCAGGGATTGAGGTGGCCAGTAGTCCCCTGCACCTTCCTTCTTGAAGACCAGGGTGACACTTGCTTTCTTCCAGTCCTCAGGCACCTCTCCTGATCACCACGACCTTTCAAAGGTTATCACGAGTGGCCTCGCTGTGGTATCTGCCAGCTCTCTCAGCACTCAGGGATGCATCCCATCAGGGCCCGTGGATTTGTGGATGTCAAGTTTGTGTAGGTGTTCTCTAACCCAATCCTCCTTGACCACAGCAAAGTCCTTCTTTCAACATTCCTCTACCCTGGTCTCCTGGGTCAGAAATTCCTGAGGGCTGGTCCTGTCAGTGAAGACCGACACGAAGAAGGCGTTCGGTAACTCCGCCTTCTCTGCATCCTCTGTCACCAGTGTCCCTGTCCATTTAGTGATGGGCCCACATTATCCTTTGTTCTCCCTTTCTCATTGATGTATGATGTAAGAAGCCTGTCTTGTTGACCTTGACATCCTTGGCCAGATTAAACTCCAGATGGACCTTGGTCTTCCTTATCTCATTTCTACCTACTCTGAAAACCTCTCTACATTCATTCCAGTGACCTGACCCTGCTTCCATATCCTGTGTATTTCCTGATTACACTTGAGCAGTGACAGGAGCTCCTTGTTCATCCACATGGGTCTCATGTTCCTCCTCCCTGATTTCTTGCTCATCAGGATGTGTCATTCTTAAGCCTGGAGGAAGTAATCAGCTGCCCTGGATCCCGCTGGGCCCACGGGATACTTTCAGGAAGATCCCTAAAGAACCTAAAGCTAGGTCTCCTGAAGTCCATGATTGCTTGCTGCCCTGCTTCCTCTTCGCCCAATACTGAACTCCACAAGCTCATGGTCACTACAGCCAAGGCTGCCTCCAACCTTCACATCTCCAGGAAGGCCTTCCCTGTTTGTTAGTATGAGGCTGAACAACACAGCACTACTTGTGGGATCCTCCCCTACCTGTGTCAGAGAGGTGTCATCAATGCTTTTCAGGAACCTTCTGGACTGTTTGTGCTTTGCTGTGTTTCATCCAGATGTCAGGGTTAATGTCCCCCACAAGAACCAGAGACTGTGACCTTGAGGCTGCTTCAAGCTGCCTGTAGAAGTCCTCAATCACTTTCTCCTCCTGATCAAGCAGCTTGGAACAAACACCCACAATGTCACCCTCACTAGTCTGCCCTTTTATCCTCACTCATAAGCTCTTGATTTGCTCATCATCCATCCCAAGATAGAGCTCAATACATTCCAAGCGTTGCCTCACACAGAGGGCTATTCCATCACTGTGCCTTCCTGGTCCATCTTTCCTAAACAGCTTGTGGCTCTTCATGACAACATTCCAGTCATGTCAGCTATCCTACCACATCTCCATAATCACAGTGAGATCAAAGCCCTGTGACTGCTCACAGATCTCTAGTTCCTCCTGTTTGTTTCCTACCCTGCACTGGTGTACAGGTTCTACCTAGAAGTATTTTCCATATAGAGGTATTCGATTTATGTCACTATCTGAGTGGGGGGTGCAAAGGGACAACCCGTAGTCCTATCCTGTGGTTATGTATTTGGCTGCTTGTGTTTGACCAAAGTATCCCCCTTAGGACTCCTTTTGCTAATTCTGTCGTTGCTACAGTACTCCCCTTCCCATTCTTTATCTCTGCTAAGCCCAGCTATGCCCCCGTCCCCCTTCAAGTCTAATTTAAAGCTCTCTTAAGGAGTCCTGCTAACTCCTAAGCTATGATTTCCCCTTTGAGAACAGGTGGGCAGGTGTTGCCAGCAGGCTCGGTGTCACATATACCAACCCACGATCAAAACCTCAAAACTGTGCTGGTAACACCAGTTTCAAAGCCAGGTGTTCATCTGCCTGATTTTCCTTTTTCTTGCCCCATCAATCTCTGCAACTGGCAGGACAGAAGAGAACATGACTTGTGCTCCAGATCCCTTGACCAGTTGTCCCAAGGCCCTGAGATCCCAACTGATTGTCAACAGACTTCTTGTTAGAACTTTGTTGTTACCCACCTGGAAAACCAGCAGTGGGTAATAATAACAATGGCTAGGAAGTTTCTTGGGGATGACCCTTACCTGGGCCCCAGGGAGGCAACACACCTCCCTGTGGATTGAGTCCAGTCCATTTCTCTCAGAAGGGAGTCACCAGTGACTACTACCCTTCTTTTTTTCTCAGTTGAGGAGGTTGTGATGCAGGGGGTGAGCTGCCCTGCCCTAGGTAATCTCTTCAACCTGGATGGACCTTCATTCATATTCACATTTTTCTGGTCCTCATTTCCCTGGTTCTCAGATTCCAGGGCCTCTCATCTATTGTGGAAGATAGGGTAGGTCAACAACTTGGGAATGTGAGGTGGGTCAGGAGGAGATTCCCCTGCCACCCAGAGCAGAAAGCCATTTCCACTCCCCTCCATCCCTAAGGTCCTTCTGGCTGGTGGTGAGAGGGTGGGAGATCCGTTACTTCTTGTGAAGTGGATGATGGGTCTGTTTGTATAAGGCATGGTAGAGCACAGCCCCACCAGTTAAACTCTTACTACCAGTCACTTTTTACATGAGTAATGAGTGAACATGGTCTCCTACAAAGTTAATATAATTCACTCAGCAGTGAGGATTCTTGAGTCATCAGGACTTAGTAATATATGGAGGATTAGACCAGGACTCTAAAAATAGTAAAAGTATAGTTATGCTCATCTAAGCAGTGTAATTAGCTGACCACAACAAAACACCACTAGTCAAAATTTCTAAAAATAAATCTTATCAACAAAAAATATAATAATTTTATAAATAAATAATAATTAAAACTTTAATTATTTTTTCAGTCTTTGGAAGGTCACCCTCCTTCTCAACAAATTACTAAGAAATAAGCTTGAATTCAATCTTCCTTTTCACAAAGAGGAAAGAAAAAGCAAGAGGAGAAATAATAAGCAGGAGCATTTTCATGTTTGATTTTCTTTTTGCATCCACAGAAATAAGAAAAAAAGGCAAAACCACCACACAACACTGATGTGGCCCTCCTAAACTTGAATACAATACACTGTTCTGTTGTTTAGGTTTCAAAGGTTCAAATTTATACCTAATGGCCCATGCAAAAGGACTTTACTATTTTATTCCCTTAAATAGCAAGCTTTTATAAAATCCCTGTAAGGTCCATTGGCTTTTTCCTTTAAGGGGAAAAAAAAAAGTAAAAAACAGTAAAGTTTAGAGAGTTCCTCTGTTTCTGGCTAATGCAGAAACTCAGTGACCTTTTTCAGAGTCTCTGATAACTATGAATATTTATATTTTGTGGTAATAATTACATCAAATATATTCATATGACTTAGAAGTAAAACTTTAGGAACTAGCTTTGGATATTGGTCTATTCAATGAGTTAAATGAGAACTGAAATCAACCAGCTGATGAAAATTCAAACAAAAAAAATATTTCTCAGCAAATGCACTACTATTATTTTGTGTTAGTACAGTATATACTCATCTTTTTCATTGCTCAAACTACAATTTTTTTGAATAAGTGTGAGAAAAACAGAAGGCTAAATTACTTCTTTGCGTTTTTTAATTTAGACGTTTTCTTAGTGTAAGCCACAGAAAATGCAGAACACTTAAATTGCGTCTTCTCCCTCATCCACCTTCCAGCAGTTGTCACATTCAGACAAAATCTGCAGTAAAGGGTACAGAGAGGGAGTGTTTGAGAGCAAAGAGTCTCCATCTTAGAGAAGTATGCATTATGCATGAAAAATGCAGTGGCTGCCTACAGCCCTAACTGATATTACACAAAACTACCTCTACCTTGCACCTGGATCTGGAGCTATTCCAGATTATGAATACAGTAACTACACACATGTAAAAGAAAGTCCTGCATTTGTTCCTGGTGGCATTTTAAGTAGGCTTTTACCAAATATATCACATCAGGCATATAAGATGCCTGATCATAAAGATGCTAGATCATAAAGATGAGCTAGCATCACTATGTCAACACGCCACCTATCATCTGAAATCTACTAAGTTGTGTCTACCACCTTTTCTGACATGCTGTCCTGGGAGCCTTGCTGAAGATAATGTTTGGTGAGTCAGTGATCTTGGGTAAACCATGCCTCTCTGTCCAGCCTTGTACTTTACACCTGAGAAGCCCACGTGTTAGCACGAGTGGTGGTTGCAGAGGACCGGGCAGAAACCCCTATGCCAGCCTGTGTTGTGAACTGATAGGTACTAGGACAGACACAATGTTCTGACCTGGCAGCAGTAGACACATGGGTTTGTTTTGGATTGTTTGGTGTATTGCTTTTACGAAAGGCACAACAGTATGGAAGGGAGGCAGAACCTCTCCTCAGATGGGACCCATGTGCCACAGTGCGCCGTGGGAAGATTCATTTGGGGTTTATATTAAGCTCTGACATAATTTAAGAAAATCACCATGTGAGCTATTTATTTAAGGTGAAATAATAAAAAAGCCTGTATGCTTTCTGTATCAATACGACCAATGTGCTGACTACATAATGACCAAGTTTTAAATAAATGTTTGACTTCAGCATTGAAGTACTCCACTTATTTCTCTAATCGCATTTTACTTGTGGCTCAATTGCTGTATTTAATGTTCTGTCCCACGCTGCAGTATTTTAATTCTCATTGCAAGGACAGTAGTATTCTCTAAGGATTTTACTAAAATACAAAGCAAAACTAGAGATTACACTCAAAAATCAAGCATGTTTCAAACACAGAGCCAAATCCTCCAGATTAAGTAAAGATTATCATTACTTTCTCATGCAGCAGAATTAACACACAATGTTAACACTAGTATACAACCAGAATTATCTTCAATATTTGGAGAGAGGGATCGTATGCCAATATATCCAGATACACATACCTACAAATATTTATTATAAAACATGTTGTGTTAGCAAACCTTATTTTCCATATGTCCTAAGATGTTACCCTGAATGGCTTTTTCCATCTCTGCACATCTTATGAATCTCTGGCCCCTGATAAGAAGCTCCAACAGAAACCATTTGTATCCATATAAAATTCAAAATGAGTGCAAGAGGAAGTTTACTACATCCAGAAGACAATGGTTTCAAAAACGTCTCTTCCATAATCTCTTCCCCCTCATCAAATGTTCTAACTGACTCTGGAAGTTTTTCACAACTCTCTGACATTCAGAAAAACTTGAGGCTGCAGAGCCAAGTACAATCCAACAGTGAAAAGTACGATAAGAAAACTAAAACCATTTAGCCACATTCCAAAAAGGGTCATTGGTGAAAGAGCTAATAGCTTCCCTACAGTTACAGACTAGTTCTCTAAGAAACTTAACATCAGCCTAAAAATCCTTAGTATGCACTATGCTGCACAGATGAGACCTCAAGAAGGATGTGGTTACATCTTGAAAGCCCAGATATTACAGAAAACTCAACTGGAAAAACAAGGTACGGAAAAGCAGCTCTCTGAACTACTGCCTAACCATTTCTGAAACTAAGAAGTAGCTAAATGAGCTTGGCCTGTGCTCTGTTAAACATGGCAAGTCCATCTAAAACAAGAGGAGATGGTGCATTTGGAGTTTCGTTTTAGCAAAAATATAGGGTATGACTACTAGATTTTTCCTCATATTAATTTTTATCTGACTGGTTTCTGATCTACCACAGCCAAAAGACACTTATTTGGGCTTAAAATTAAGCACACACAACAAAAACTGGGTGCTGGTCACCTATAAACTAGAGCTCCATTCATAAGAACGTAATTCCAACCGAGACATAATGTCCCCCCCACCTCATCCCCTGATATCCAAAGTGTTAACACCTTGCTAGAAACAGCGTTACAGATCTGTTGATTAACTTACTTTGAAATATCTTTGCCACCATGTTGCCATGGAAATATGACATTTCCAACAGCTGCCCGGTAACTGTAGACTCCCAGGAGCCCGAGTGCCATAGCAATTTTTGAAACCAGGGAGCATCTCCTTTGAACCAGAAAGAAGATCATAAGCAGGGAGACTGCAGCCAAGAAGGAGAGTTCAGGTTTATGTTCAGAGCTGAGAAAAAAACAAACAAACAAAAAAAAATCTTTTAAAACATAAATTAGAGCTAAACATATTACCTACAGCACCATATTAATCAATTAATAAACTGTATTAATTAATGCAGCACCAAATTAATCACTGCACTGATACTTGTTATGAAGTTGCTGAGAGGTATGGTAAAATATTTTAGTATTTCTAAAAAAGCACTTTTATTAATAAGGTTTTCTATTCAAGCATACATATTTAAAAGTGTAATTATTGTGTCCTACCATATGCTAGTTATTCTGTTAATTAAATAAAAACTGAGCTGCATATTGCATCACGGAAAAGGGTCTAATACTTTTAAACTAGGGGTTTGTTGTTTATACATTCTGAAACAGTGCATTTCACTTATACTACAGCATTTTATTTTCTAGCACAATGAAAAAGATTGTTGCCCTACAGGATTAGAACTATTCTGTCTTTTGAAGTAACAACACATGTATTTGATTTGTTTAATTAATTTTAGTCATAGAACACACTACCTATCTAGAATGACCACAAATATACTTACACAGTTTACAACACACATATACAAATTCATTAGCACAATGCAATTCCCTTATGCAACTACAGCACCTTGTACTACGTGAGAGATAAAGACACAAAATTTGCATCAGTGACAGAGAATATTAGAGATACAGTTTGTTTGTTCCTCTGCATCCTAGATAGAGGTAACACTCATTCCAGAATAGAGGTCATTTTACTGAGCATGCTGCCAATGTCATGTATTTAAATCATCAGTAGTATGAATTAGCACTGCAAAATGTAATGGGGTAAACTGAAGATCTGCACCCAACCCCTACCACAGCTACCTACACACTTTAAGAAAGCCAACTGTAGTACAAGAATTGCCAACCCAAGCCTACTGCAGATATTCCCAGTATTCCAAATGATGTAAAACCACTAATTTTGTTAGATTTACCTTCTGTTAAGGACATTGTGCAGAGTGAGAGCCAAAGGCTCCGTCTTCTGTCTTCCACATTCAAAATGCCAAGATAAAAGATCACTAACTTCAGAAAACTAAGAGTGAGCCTGGGCTATTATCTGCATTAAATCCCATCACACTTATGAAACTCCAGTTTTATCTCTGATTTAATAAAAATTACTGTACTTCAAAGAGGTTTACTTTCCTGTTCCTAGTGTTTGATTTATCATGGGTTTGAACAACAGTTGTTTCAGCTATTGCACTTGGAAAGTCACAAAGGGAAGGTTATGGGGCAGAAAAACTGTCCTGCTAGTCCTCCGTGCAGGACCCAGTCAAGTAGTTCATAGAACTTAACAAGACTCCCAAGAGATGCAGTGCTCTCTGCAAGCCATTGGAGAAAAGTGAGAGGAATAAGATCTAGAACACTATGGGAGAGAAAATGCAGTCTTGATGTTTCTTTTTCTACATAAGGAGTCAGCAGAAGCAGTGAATAGATTCCTGCAGCAACCCATGAAGATAGTGCAAGCACCATCTCTTATGATCAACACATAATAAACTATTTTGGTAGCCACTGCACCTTTCAAATGAACATTTTTGAAAACTTTAAGTTTTCAGGTAGTATCCTCCTTGGCTACTCATTGTATGAGAGCAAGACAAATCAGGAATAAATAACATCACATCATCATCATCTTTGTCTCTTTATCTAAAAAACTCGCTTTTGTTAAGAGACTCTTGCAGACAAAGTTAACACAGCAATACAAAAAATTTTAAAAAGCCATTGCTATCTGTAAGAAGTAACTGCTATTGCTGTGTCAAGCCAGACACTCACTAACAGCTGCAATTCCTACAATGAACATCTGAAATCATACAATAATACCCTCCCCCGGAAAAAATGGGGGCACTGCAAAGTTATGTTCAAAGTAATGTGCACATCAGTCACATGACTTTGCATTCTTGACCGCTAGTGAAGGGGGTTATATACAAATCTGTCCAGGTTTTTGGGTAACAGTCCTCTGTGATTTCTCCGGGGAATTTTTTTGAACCATATAAATTTGCTCAAAAAAACCTACCCCAGTGTTTCATGGTTTGCTGAAGAAAGAAGAAAAAGATTTATACAGGTGAAGTCTGGTCAGCATAAATCACCTACAGTTTCAAGGTTTTCTAGCCAAGGTTCCTCCAGTTAGTCGGCTAAAAGCATATGTACTTAGCTTGTATTTTGAAAGGCGATGGTAGTTGCTCAACGCAGACACAGAGACTCCAGTCATTTAGCAAAGTTCTAAATGATTTTGATAGTCTACTCAGAAATGCAAGCAAAACATGCTACTCTGATCTCAGCTGCAATGTAGTGGGTTTTGCCCAAACCACAAAATGAACCAACAGCTTCCTGAGAGAAAACGTGGTGAGAGGGAAGGAAAAAAAGAACACTTTGGTTATATCTTCCTACTGTAACATCTTGTGGTCTACACTCATACTTCTGGTATGCTAGCTTCGGGGGAAGGGAATTTGGGGACAGTTAAGCTATTAAGTTATTCAGATAATTAAAGGAAAATATTATCATCTTTCCATGCTGATGCTTCTTGTCACTTCTCTTGGAGCTGATGCTGCCATGTAGCAGCTCTGACACCTTTGAAGTATCAGTTCTGACCAAGATAACCAGCTAAATGAAGCTAATTGAATACCAACTGATTAAAAAGAAAACCTGACTTCCAGTCAGATCTACATTAAGTGTTCTCCTCCACTTCATCTACTGATTTTCTTTTGCTCTTTTTCCCATCAAAGTATTTTTTCCTCTTTGTAGCAGATTTCACAGAGTCTGTCTGCAAATAACAAAGAACATTTTCCTTATTTCAGCACTGCTGAATGCATCTCTAGTAGCCAAATTCAAGACACCACAGGCACATTGATTTTCTGTGTTTTGGTACTTACATTTTTCTATGGACAAACCTGGACAACAGTGTCTCTGTCTCAAATGCTGAGTCCATTAAGCACTGTCCAGATAAGCAAAATATTAGTCTGAGCATGAGCACAGATGTCTAAAAGGTCAATACAGGGGAATAAAAAAAGGGGGCAGTTTGTTCATTAGTTTATTTTAGAGACAAAATAGAAGGCTGTCTAGAAAAAGCCTGAGTAGCTGTAACTCAAACTAACAAGGGTACAAACGATATAAGTAAGGTTCTAAACACTTATTAGTAAAAAGAGAGCTATTAAGATGTAACTATGCAAATTAAACTCATGCTAAAAATAAAACAACAATCAACCTCACAGACTAGCAATGCATTTCGGGAAGAGGAATAAGTGCTTTACGCAACTCAGCTTATCACCAACTTTTAATTCATGCTGTTAAGGAAAACACATCACCTCAATCTTGATCAAAACACTAGGGAAACAAACATCTCTACCACCCTGTTCTCTTGTAAAGGAGAAGGAACAAAGACATTAAAACCTCTAAACAAAGAAAATCCAAACATGTTTGCCAAATAGGAATTCACTGACACTTTACAAACCCCAGGACGTGTAAAGATTCAGTTGCATCATTGACTGATCTTCCGGAAGCTTGTCCAGTGAAACACAAAAAACTCAAGAACTCAACTACCATCCCATCACTTGAGTCCAAAATCTGTATACATCAAATGCTGCTAATGTTTTAATCCTATAAAGCAAATGAAGTATACATCAGCATGGTGACATATTGTATTCTCCTGTTAGATTAAAAGCTGCTCCATTGTTAAAGTCAGGATATAGCTCCACAGCAGCCCAAGCCAGCCTGTGCCAGGGCTGCCAGGGTTCTGTTCTTTTCACCTGCTCCCTAAACATATCAATGAAAGGGTGAATGCAGAAGTGTGACAGCCCTAATCACATAAACTCTTAGGCTGTCACAGCACTCTGGACTTTTGCATAGTGTTTTTAAGCCCCTCAGAATACAAGTTTGTGAATCATTGCTTCTTTCTCAATCATATTTGAAAGGTATGCAGGTTCTTGTAAGGAATGCTTGACAACAGCAGAAAGAAAAAACTGTTTATGTCTGTAGCACTTCAAAAGATGCAGATACTTCCACGTTCTGTTTCTACAGTAATTTCAACAACAGCAGTGCTGATTTGTACACTCTTCCCTTCCTGTATTCCTGTTACTAGCCAGCCCATTTGCCTGTGAAACCTGATGGTAAATCGAAGTGGGATGTGATCCAACAGAAAGCCAAGTGTTTCCCATGCCATCTTGAGTTATTTTTCCAGTCATATCTATTCAATTATTTAGTTCACCACACAGACATGCAAACAGGTAAAATACAGGGCCAGTGAGGGGAAGAGTAAGAGAGCAAGTACCTTGCTCTGTATGGCAAGAGCTCCTCCAATATACTGTTATAGCCAAATGCTCAGTTGTAGCCTAAGACTGTAGCTGTAGAACCTTTTCTCTTCTACTTGTTTTGAGACCCAAGCAAATATACCCAATGTGAGGCCATAATTTGATAGAGAACACAGGGAGCAATTCACCTGTAAAATTCTGAAGCTTTTTGGTTCTTTGATATCTAGCTGCTGTACTTCAGCCTTACTGAAGGGGGAGGCAGACAGCTTTAATAACACGGTTGTTACGGCTTTATGAAGGAGAATACTTAATCAACCTCACAGACTTTTGTGATGAGATGACAAGTTCAGTGGAAGAGAGTAAAGCAGGCATTGTTGTTTATCCGTGCTTTATCAAGGCTTTTAACACCAGCTCCCATAACATCCCCACTGGCAATCTCATGTGGTCCAGGCCAGGAAAAGTAGACAGTCAGGTGGACTGAAAAATACTCAAATGCTGGATTCACAGGGTTCCCATCAGCAGCACAAAGTCCACCTGAAGGTCAGTTGCTAGCTGTCAACCCCAGGACTTCACACTGGGGTCTATCCTGTTTAATGTCTACATTAATGACCTGACCAATCGGGCAGAGTGTCCCTTCAGAAAGTCTGCACACAACACAGAACTGGGAGCAGTGGTTGATACAGTAGGTGGGTCTGCTGACATTCAAAGCCCCTCGACAGACTGGAGAAATGGCCCATCAGGGATTTCATGAAGTTCAACAAGGGCAAGAGGCAAGTCCTGCACCTTGGAACAAATAGCTACACACATCAGGACAGGCTGGAGGCCAACCCTCTTTTCAGAGATGGCTCTGAGCACACTGATGAACTCTTGACTTGATAATCAGCATGCAGTGTGCCCTTGGAGCAAAGACAGCCAACAGTATTTGGAGCTGCATCAAGAAAAACATTAAACAGAAGACTGAGGAAAGCTGTTTCTTCCCTGGTGTACAACCCTGGGTCCAGTTATGGGTTACTCAGTACAGAGAAAGATATGGACATATTCAAATTCACACAAATTCCAATTTATATGCACAAAGTGAAACACAAAAATAGCCTCCTCCCTCCCTTCTCCCCATTCCTTCCTCAAAAACAACAACAACAGAACCCCAGAGGAAGCCAGAACAGGTGTAAAAAGCCTTGGGTTTAGGTGAGTTGGTTGCTTGGAGGCTCCTGACAGGTAGTAAGTGTTAGAGCTAGGTATACAGGATTTTCCAGGATTCCCCAGCTTTTGTTACAAATCAGGAAGTCCTAGAAGCACCTGCTTTATCTGCAGACTATGCTCTACCTGTGCTATCTCCCTGAGATCCTAAAGCCCAAGGTTGGAATATGTTTTGTTGCTCTACAGGCATACCTAGCACCATGAAATCAGAGGTAGGAGCACATTAAACTGAAGCAGGATCTTTGGAAGTGAAGTCCAAACATGCATACAGAATTCTTAGAAGGCTGATAAAATTTGCAAGAGTCAGTAAACATTCCTGGTGGACCACATGAGTAAAAGCATATACCTGAAACAAACACAATTTTTCAGCTGCAAGAGTATCAGGTCCTTGTTTCATGCCTTTGTGGCATCAGCACATCCCAAAGAAAAGGGCTGACAGTCTGAAGAAAACATCTGGCTCAGGATGTTTTTAGGCAGATGCTCAGAATTAACCATAAAAATCCTCATGGTCGCACAAAATCACGCCTCATCCTGCTCACACATTGGCTTAGCTCATAATGAAGGAGTTATCTATCATGTGGAGTTGATGTTGAAAATACGACATTCTTTCCTCAATCCCTCACCTCATCCCAAGAGCACAAATGCATGGTGAAAGCTCCGGAATAGAACAACCGCTATAATGTGACAAATTCCCTCCTAACTCATGTCTTTCAGCACTCATGCCTGTCACAGCAATGAGCATTTCACCTGTGAGGTTGCCAATAAATAACAAGTCTCATATTAGTCCATTTGCTCATGTCATTTTTAATGAACGATGAATGACATTTCATCCCTGTGTTGTAAGATACTGGCAAGAAATCTATTCATCTTACGCAGCACAGCCTCTTCATCTGCTGTCTGCAAAACCTTGACTAGGCAGTCACAAGGTATCGCTTCTCCATCCACCAGCTGAAGTACAGAAGACAGTTCAAACATCACGTACTTTTTATCACTGAATAATGACTGTAGTTCTGCAAAATACTAAGAGGTATCAGAAAAAGGAGAACCTCTCCTCTGGTGTACTTCAAGTTATAAAAAATTCCTCTTCTTGTTTATCATATTACACTCAAAAAATTCCTTCAGTTTTCCACCCACACGTTAAAAGCCTGTGATAGACAAGGAAAAATTCTATGTGAGGCATCTTCTCCTGTGATTTCATAACATTCGGAATTATGCAGAACCTTCCTGTCTTAATTTCAAGGGTTTAATTCTATTAAGCGATTTTTAATTTCTCAAACCAGACACTCCTGACTTACATATGGAAAATATTTACTTTTTGCTTCTGATAAACCTATCGTGTATAATTGGCATTAATTAGATAAGTCATAGCGCAGGGCAAAGATTATAAACTACTGATAGCACACAAGGAATCACTTCTGCATGAAATAGCAGTGAAAAACTCCTTATGTTACCTCCTCATCTATCTGCTTTGCATGTTTGCAGCACGTTCTAATCACAGACTGCACAGAAATACATACGTACTTCACCAAATGAAGCACACATTGATTTTTAAATAAGGCAGAAAGTGTGACTGTAAATCAGATACCCACCTTGTCAACCAATGCCCAAAGTCTGGTCGATGAGCCCACTGGACACCTGTCTGATTCAAGGATCGAAGTAGCCGACAGCAAATAAGGATGACCCATGGAGTTGCTAAGCTTATCCACTTATGTGATCCTTTCATGAATTCAGATGAAGATGTGGCCTTGTCCAATTTTGAACTACTTGCTGCTGGAATGTCTATATTCTTGCAATCAGAGGTTTCCCCAAGACTATCAAAATTTTGCTTCACATTGGTGCTATGTTGAGGGTCACATTCCTTTAGAAGAAAATTATTTCTACAAAGCTCCTGACACAGCACCAAACAAAGCGTATTGATAAGAAAATACCAAGTTTGATGTTCCTCTTCTATGAAACTGCTTGCCCCCAAACTCAAAACATGGCCAATTGTTCCAGCCAGAATCAGCACATCTATTTCTGACCAACTAGAACTGGACACACCTGGATTCTGAAAACAAAAAAACAAAGCACAGGAGTGGTGAAAGGGTGTAAAAATTTATCTTGTGTAAGTATTCACAGTGTGCTTACAGCAATTTCCTCTAAGAAAACAAAATAAATCATGAGACAAGTTATTTCTATCTTAACGAATCTCAAACACTTACACAAGAATCATTTCAATGTAGCATATTTAGTTAGCATTACAACATAGTAATAATTTTTATAATTGCATTCTGTTTAAGGGCTCAAACTTCTCTACGAACAATCATAACTGTGCAGATTCCCTACCATCCTGTGACAAAAGGTTCTAAACAACTTCACTCTCTGTTGCACATTTGTAGAAGTAAAAACAGAAATCCTGCAGAAATCAAACTTGAGATACAGATAAAAGGTAATTTTCTAATAGTTTAAACCTGTGATATCCTCAACTCAATACAGTGAGTTCACTACTCAAATGAACAAAAGTTACTGTCTGATGGCACCCCTTAACCTTGCTTAGCTTAAAATCTCCTTTAAACCTTACCCATCTATTATTTACTTCACACACTGTGCCTATCTAAAACCACAGTATTTTTTGTCTAATGCCTCCATTAGTTCGATTTCTTGTTCTCAGCAGATAATTGGAATTGCCTCATCATCACTGCCCTCGATGACAGGGCTAAAAAGAGAACGTAAGGGCATGTGGAAGTTGAGAGCAACCAGTTCACTGATGTTATCTTGTAAAGAACCATTCAGCACACAGGGAAAGCCATAAAAAGACCACAGAGAAACACAAACATGATAAATAAGCACTAAGGGAGAGCACAAAGATGACCAGAGCTCTTCAGCCATTAACTGATGGGCCATTAGGAAATCACAGGCATAGCTCTGAAGAGCTGGACTTTATAACAGATAAGGCAGGAGTGACAGACCAAGGGTATTATGGATATCTGATATCTGACCAACTCCCTAAGCGATGCTTCAGGAAGGTGTCAAAAGTGAGGAAGAGGGGGTGATAGGGAATAGAATGGAAGCAGGGAGCAAAGTGAGAGGAGAAAGGGTAAAGGAGCCAGTTACATATAAGCAAGAGCCAGTCAGTGCACTTTCCTGACTGAGCCCCCTAACATACCTTAACAAATAGGGTTACATACTCGTGAAGTATTTTGAGAAAAACACAGTCGAAATCATCCGTTACCATTTTATTTTCTCAATTTTTGCTCTATTAGAGAATATCACAAACTATTTCTTAAACTGGTATTTTAAGCATCTGATAACGATTTAAAAGCCAAATTGAAACTACTGCATGCCATTTTTACTTCAGAACAAAGATCTCTGAACCTACTGTCACATTCATTTCTTTAACTGCATATTTCAACCACATCATCCTCCCACATTCGACCTATGAACAAACTTCAAAAAAAACATGGTGAACATTCACAGAGATAAAATTCACAGAGAAAATACTCGCATTGAAAAATGCACAGTGTACTACAATTCCTGAACTGTTTCAATCAAATGTTAGAAGAATATCGAAACTCATTAATCTTAGAGCAGGTAACAAGAAAGCAGGTGTAAACAATACAAGTATCTCTGAGCATCTTAGATGCAATTCTGTCTTGTGTTTATGACTTACTGACAGCAGCATATGCACGTTTGTTTAATAAGCAGGACCATGTAACATGGAGAAGACAACAAACACACTTGATGCAAGAACCTAGTTAACCCTCTCTGGAATTTTGGTTTGGGGAAAACAACTTTTGCAAAATCAAAATTTTAAGAGATGTATGTGAAAGAATCCAGGAGGTATAGTTACAGTTATCACCTATTCACGGTCCTTTCATTTCCTCTGTTGTTAAAGAATACATTACACCAAAGTCATTTCACTTTAAAAAAGAAAAAAACCAAAACACCCACAACCAAAAAAGTCTCCATGAGGTTACACACAACAATAATGGGGGGAAAAATACTAATAAACTGAAAAAAATGCTGAGGGCCAATCTAAATTTACTAGTATTTGATATTTCTTTGGTGCTCGAAAGACCACTCCGGTTTGTTTAGTACTCTATTCTGAAAAGCAAATACCATAAGCTGGTATTTGGAATAAAAGGACAAGGTAGTCTGTGCAAAGACCAAAGAGCATGAAATTCACAAAGCTGATACAAGAACAGTACACGACTGAACTACAGAAAGTTTAAATCCCAATAATTCCATCATGCTGACCTTAAAGATCTTGGCTAACTAAATAATGAGCATTTAAGTATTATCTGCTTGAAGAGACAAAGAAATCTGAGACCCTCAATAAATGACAATGAACAAGTCTTTGATATAATTCATCTTCTTTATAAGACATAACAGAAAATCTATGGAACAATTGGTCTCTTGTATGTGGTTGCTGTCAGCAACTGATATGAAAACTGAAGAACTGATGCTTTATCAATGAGGAATATATAAAACTCTCATGAGAACGATGGCATTAGCATGAAATGTCCCAGAGTCAAAATCTGTATTTCTTGCCTGCTTGTCTCTCACAATTCCAGTGAAAAGAGAAAAAAATTACTCTTACATTCACATCAAAGGATTAAAATCCAATGACATTTACTGATAAACCACATTTCAGATCAGTTAAGTCACTATGCAGAATCAAAAATTATGTTGCAAATTATAATCTGTGCCTTGATAATCTAAGAAATTCTGAAAATATCTCCACTGAGGTTTTCTAAATTTACTGGCAATCCCCTATGTTTGAACTGTGCTTTATTAGGTACGTCACGAGTCCAGTGTCATATACAGTCTGACCTTAGATTATTTAGATTGTACTTAGTTCTTAGATGTGGTTTAAAGGCATAGAAATGTAGGTCTTACTCTGCTATTCACAGTTCTGTCTTTCTAGCTGCTGAACACGTCCAAGCCTCAGGAACTCAGCAGTCACTCCAGACACTAGAAGACCTGTATGATTCTCACTGCTATCTTGGCAAACAAACTTAATACAGACTCTTTTGTTCAGAAATGCATAAGTCCCAGGCTTCAAATCTAAGCATATCATCTCCCAAGCCAAGGTAGCTTTAACAACTGACGTACCAGCATTAGTAATTAATACAGAAACTGACCCCTTGCCCTGTCTTTGAACACATCTTGCTAGCTTGCAGAAATGCCAGTCCATAAATGATAAAGTATGTGAACCTCTGACCAGTAAATTTTGAAACTTCTTCACTTCAAAATAAAACCTCCTGTAGTCTATCTTCTGTGTCCAATTCCAGTTATCTGGCTTCTGTAATGTTAACCATCCACAGTTAATGCCTGCGGAATTTTGCAATCACTTTTCAGATAAGAAACATTTTATTTTTCATGTCCACCATCACTGACAATTTAAACACTTAGCAGTTTGCTCCCTTCTGATACTTGAGCTCCCTGAATCCAGTCTTGATTCCCTATGGTGGTAACTTTCCCATGGCAAAGTACTACAGATGAAACTTGCTGCTACATTTTTATAGCAGTTTGGGATCATTTTTGTAAGCTATCTGGTAAAGACATCACCCAATCATCTTTTTAATTCCTCAAGTCAAAAAATTCTAAAAAATTTTAGATGTAACTCCATAAAAATGTATCACTGTTCATTTAACCAAGAATATCACATAGGGGAGGAAACCCAAAAATATTGTAAGATGAACAGGGTACTTCAAAATAAACTGAAAGAGGAACAATTTGTTTATGCAGTAAAAAAACACTATAATTCTGCATAATGAAAATTCTTAAAAACTGTATTTGACAAGCTTTAACTTTTGTGTTCTAGTTTCAAAAAAGCTTAATTTTTATTTCTATCAGCAACAGGGAGAAAAAAACCACAACTAGTAGTAGTAAACACCATACTTATGTCAACTACCAAGCAATTACAGTGAGGCTATGAACAAAAAGTTAAAATTTTTGATGATTTTCTGGAATTCATAAAGGCCTGCAGAACTATTTAAAGCCTTAAGTATCATTAAAAGAAGGGACTGGTGCTGCTAGAAACATAGCAATCAGAAGCTATAAATAACAGTCAGGAAGCAGATGTTAACACTGCCTGCACTGGTCTTCAGAAAATTCATGAACTTGGTAATCAGTTTCTATATTCAGCCACAGTGGGAAAAAAAGCATTACAAATGAGAAGCACTTCAGAGAAATCTTTAGATGTGAACGGAAACAATTTGAAGGAAAAAAGCTCTGAAGCCATTAACAGGAGAGCTTATCTTAATTACTTCTAAAATACCTACATTTTATCGTACAGCTTGAGCTTGGAAAAGGCTTTTTAGCTTTTTTTAACTGGCAAGACCATGATTCAGGATTCTACTCCTGCCATCAGAAGATCAGGGTTTCAGAGCTCTTTCAGAAGTGGGCCCCATCCACAGATTCGCACTGTGGTCACACACACTTGGATTTAGAGTTACTTTAGCATAAGTGGTACTCCTAACTCAGGCAGAAGGCCCTTCAGGATCAACACACAGCATACAAAGACAACAAGTTTCCCCCCCAAAGTCTAGGCATTCCTTTGGAAAAGGAGATGAAAAATGGACGTGAGCGTTTGGGACACATCCACACTGCAAGCAGCACCAGACCATACGCTGCTCCTTTCACCTTCTCCAGGCTCTATATTTGTATAAGCAGTGACCCTAAAAAAATCCCACAATATCATTCTATAGTAGCCCTCAAACTGGAAAAAAGGTTAATCAAAATCAGGTCACTGCTTTTATCCATGACTGGAATGAAGCCTGCTTGATTTTGACGAGATGAGATACGCATACTGCAATCCAGTCACCTATGGAATAGGACTGAAGACAGGAGGACAAAAGGGTATTTCTACAGGTCTGAATACAAAGTCATGTCTGCCCCAATCAGAATTACTATTACCTGCACTTCATAAGACATACTTAAGCTTCCCACATTTTCAGACGTATCTCAAGTAGGAATTTGATCACAGGCAGACCTGGGATGGAGAATCGAGTATTTTTTATTTTTATCTGCCCCAGCCTTGAGAAAACAAACACACACACAAACCTGGAAAGCATTGCTGAAAACCTCCTCATTTGTGTATTATCAACTTGAAGCAGCTGATCTGCTTCAAGTGAGGGTGGTGAGGCACTGGAACATGTTGCCCAGAGAAGCTGTGGATGCCCCATCCCTGGAAGTGTTCAGTGCCAGGCTAGAGGGGCTCTGAGCAAGCTGGTCCAGTGAAAGATATCCCTGACCAGAGAAAGGGTTTGGAACTGGATGATCTTTCAGGTCCCTTCCAACCCAGACCATTTCATGATTCTGTGATTCTTTGAGACTATCCACCTGGAGAAAAAACCTATCACCTGTTGTCATTGGTCTCAATGCTACTGAAGGGGAATGTCTGTAAATTTTATGCAAGTCTAGAAAGTCATATTTAGATTCCTACTGTCCACTAAAATTAGAAAAACTGGTAACAAGATGGAAAACAGGCAAGTAAACGTGAGGTTTCTACAGAACACACAGGAGCATGAATTATTCCAAGGCCATATTATTTTTCTAAGACTAATTTCTACCTCATTCACAATAAAATACAGAAAGCTAATAAGAACCCTAAGCAGAACAGATCAGAAATGGCAAAAGTGAACTGAGTCCACTTAAAAAAACAGCACACCCCTACGTACCAACTGTGTTAACAAACTGTAAAACTAGACATCTCATTCAGAAGATTTCTCCATTCATGTTGATGAATTTTACCCTCACCTTTCATTTGACTCTAAAAAAAGACCCACACAAGCATCACTAGCTTTGGCAGCAAAACATTACTACTACTTTGACACAAAACCTTCAGTACCAAAACCAAACTGTGATTTACACTTACAAAGACTATTCTGTTAGCAGCTATACCCAAGAGGAAACTTCTTTCTCTGATTTGATAAAGCAGATATTTGTAGCTGACCTATTAATATACTTCAGTCTACCTAAATGATCAGACACATCTAAGTCTCATGTGAACGATGAATATAAAAGAATGATACAACAAGTTCTATCAACATCTCCTTTTTTCGTCACTTTCAATATACTGAAGTGAATTGCACTGAAGAAAATAGGGTACTGGCAAAGTATTTTCTTATCAGAGCGTTAATGTCTGTTGTATTTGGAAAGGACAGATCATCACTGGGGCATGTTGTTACAAAGTGTCATACATGCTGCTTTAATTGCAATTTTGAAACATCACTGTAACAACATAGAATTTGTACACAGCATAACTGTTTCCAATCCCACGAAGTCAACTGCAAAGTATTTTACAACATTTAGAACATTTCTTCAAGTAATGGCAAAATAAGCACTTCTGTGATCTTTATGATACAATCGGTATCATGCCACAGTGAAAACACCGCATTTCAATTACAACTTTAAATTATTCAAATTACATTACAAAATAAAAATTTCTCTAGGCACACAGAGAGAAAACTTAACAAAATTTTAACTGAAAGCACACCATGAAAAGCAGAACATTTTGAACCATAATTAATGCACGCTCTCACCTTCAGTGGAAGTCGGGAATTCTCAAAGATCTTTGCAATAGCAGATAAAATACCACACATGAGTGCAGAAATCAGCATCATCACTCCAACTGCTGTTAGCCAGGACATACTGCAGAAATAGCACAAACTTTCTGCTGACGTGCATACAATGACATGAACCGCACACAGCATCAGGCACATCAAATAAAACAGCAGAGAGAATAGTGGAGGGGAGAGGGGCACTTCAAATTCTGCCCTCTTGCTCAGAGCTTTTGGAACGCTGAGCAAAAGCAGCAGCAGAACCTAGAAAAAAAAAATAGGGAATTAATACTTTAAAAATTGGGGTTAGCTAAAACATACAGTGAGAATTCACAAAAAAAAAAATCATGCTGTAGTCATCCATGTCACTCTGCTAGTACACATAGTTCATCAAAAAAAAACCTGTGAAGAACTATATAGGGGTTTTTTCCCCCAGTAAGATAATACCATATAAATGGGAGAATCCAAGATGGTGTTTTCATTTATTAAGGGCTTGGACACACAGGTTCCCGAGTTTAATAAATTACCATTTGCCTCCTCACCTGTGGTAACTGATAAGATGTACGATCTTTATTCCCTGTAAAAGTAAGAGCTCCCAACATCAAAATAGTTCGTAAGCAAACAAATTTGACCCATTATTTGTCACCTGTAAATGCCTGAAGTTACATGCACTCTATCAAAGACAATTCACCTCCTGTATGACAGATACACATATATGAGATCCTGCTGAGTTAAATAGCTTCTCAAACCAGGGGAAGTTCTCATACTATCACACAAGTGTATGCTGAATTTCAAGCTTATGAATTCTCCCAGTATTTATTTTTTGTACCTCTCCTCATCTTAATTTGATTTATTGGTTTTACTTTAACTTTGCTCTAACCTGCACACAGATCAGGCAGAATTCCAAGTTTTCTCTCAGGTAACTGCAGCAGTGGAAATGAATAATACAATGAAAATTTCTGCTACTGTACAAACCTTTACAAAAAAATAAGAAACTTCAGCCACATGCTAAAACGCGTTGCAAGCTGAACAGATGGAGCTTGGACTATGCTGACCTCAATCAGCCTCTGCCAGGGCAAGATTAAAACAAATCAAGATAAAAACAGACCACTGCCAACCTGTAATCTTTCACTGCCACTTGTGAAGGTCTCTGCCTAAATTTTTCCCACATTACAGTGAGATACAGTAAAGTAGACCAAAAAATATCAAATGCATTGCACTCATCTGCTGCTTCATCATATTCTACTCCACATTTCATTTGGTTATGAAAATATGCATCTTCAGAGTATCGAACTGGCTTAGGTCTTACATTTCAACACAGCCCTTAAAACTAAAACAAAGACAGCACTCACGGTAGGAAGGCACTAGTTATCTACAAAACTAAATTTAGGTCTTTTGAGCAAGTGCAGTATTATCAGTCCATGCCCCAGAGGCATCCTCCTCATCCGATAAACAGCATTTCTAGCACGGTGTAGTCTGAAGTGACATGTGAGTGTCACTACTGTTATTTATTCAGCAAAGGTGGAAAACACATATCACGACAAAAAGATTTTGGAAAACAAGGCAGTTTCTTGAGTATTACACTGGAGAAAATAAAAAACTCCAGCCTCTTTGCACCAAGTCTTACAGTGATGCTGAGCACACACTGCTCAATGAAAATTTGAACATTTCCATGGTTAGTAAGCTGCATGTGTCTTTGACGAAGGCCCACTGAGTATAATACCTAAGATCTGTTTTCTAGAAACAGTAAGCATCTACAAGCATTTCAGAAGATAAAAAATAATCCAGTGCTTCAGCTGTCCACAGCTTGAATCCATGGGTTTCCAAAACAAAGGAACAAAAAAGAAATATAAGCACTTCAGCTTTGCACTGAACTTTGCCCACCTCCAGATCCTCCATCCATAGAGCAGGAACAGAACCTGCCATCTCATCTACCCAAGGGCACAGTGGAACTCATTCCTCTGAGGTGATCAGCAGAGGGACAAACCCCACCAAGCAGTCTAACCACAAAGCCATTTCAGAAGTACTCTGTATGCAGGGAGCAGTGAATAGGAGACAAGGCACAGAGCCCTGCCAGGACAGAGGAGACTCAAATATTAATGAACTGCTCACATATTGTTATCTATTCCAGGCACTGAACAGTAACAGAGTCTTGTACAGCACCACATTCAAGGACTAAGCTAAGCTTGTAGTAGGTACCTCCATCCTATGGAAAAATGCTTTTACTCAGAAAAGTTGACAACCTTGTAATCTAAAAGGTCAGTGCAAACTTTGGTACATAGAAGTTCAGTGTCCAGGCATGCTATTCCTTCAGCACGGTTCTCAAAGCATTACACTATTTCCAGGCTTTTGAGGCTATTTCCAGCATTTGAGTTTTGCCCAAGAGATCAGTTGAAGAAATCCACTTAAAATTCCAGACATGGCATATCTTATCTTTATTCCTACGGGAGATACAACGTGGCAGCCCAGCACCTCACAGCAAGTATTTATTTCAGGGATCTAAACCCATCAGCACGAAGAACAATTCCTGGAATTGTGAAAATTGTCCATATAAGGTATTGCCTGTTTCGAGCAACTACACTCAATGTTAGATAAAGAGGAATGGGTAGGAATTTACTTGCCAGACTTTTTTTTTTTTTTTAAATGCAGTAAAGCTACTCAAAAATAGAAGGCTAACTAATAGCGGAGTAATTTAAGCTGTAGCACATCTACATATTTATTGTAACTGTCTACACCAAAACATTAGTAGTTCATATCAAAAGTGCTCTTGAATCATTATAAAGGCCAGATCATTAAAAAGAGTATTAACCTCATCCAAGCAGAATGTCAGCCAGCTCTAAGAATTCATACTCGGTAATTTTTAAGACCAGTAAGTGTATACATTAAATAGTCAAAACCAAGATACTTTTGCTTTTGTGCACTTAACCTTTTCAGTGAAAGATCTATTTTCGTACCTCCATAATGATCACAGTCCCCACCATCATCGAATACATGTCATACTGCGCCACTTGTTTGCTTAGTGAAGAACTCAGAGTCTTGAGGGCCTCCAAGTATTGCTTCAGGACCTTTTTGCCAAGATTTAAGAGTATTTCTGAATTATTCCCCTCTAAATACAGTTTGATCCAATTACCATGGGATTTTTCTGCTATTTTAAAATGTTCATATCCAGGATCTGGGGGGTGGGAGAAAAGAAAAGAAGCAAAAGGATCCATGAACAAAAGAGGATTAATTAGACTTGTGATCATATTTTTATATTTGCTTGTATAATATATAAAAATATATAATTCCTATGAGGGTTGAAGCTTTTTTCAGACCTACAAATCACACTATCTTCCTGTAGCAATACCATGATGAGCCAGTTACTCAGAATAAAAGCAATTAATCTCTAACCTAATAAAATGTCAAGACCTCTAACAATTGAAAAACTTATTTAAATATCCATTCACTTTTGCAAAACGTTTCCAGGACAAACAATTCAAATGCTTCAGATGCTGTTTAAAAAAAAAAACAAAAAAACCCACCAAAATCAATGCTTTCCACTGGAACCACTGACTACCCTGGGCATATTGTACGAGCTGAGTGAGAAACAACCAACTAGCCAATCTCTGGAAGAAACACGAAAGGAGACACACACACTGCATTAGCTGGTAGTGCAGGCTGGATGAGTGGATGGTGAGGTGGATTGAGAACTGATGGAATGGCAGAGCTCAGAGGACTGTAATCAGCAGCACAAAGTCTAGTTGGAGGCCTGTCACTAGTGGTGTCACCCAAGGGTCGACACTGGATCCAGCGTAGTTTGACTTGTTCACCAATGACTTCGGGAAGGGGCAGATGCCTCCTCAGCAAGTTTGCTGACAAGAAAGCTGAAAAGAGTGGCTGATACCCCAGAGGGCTCTGCAGCACTTCAGAAGGACCTTGACAGGTTAATGAGACAGGCAGAGAAGAACCATCTGAAATTCACCAAAGGCAAGTGCAGGGTCCTGCACCTGGGGAGGAATAACCCCAGGCACCAGCACAGTCTGGGGGCTGACCTGCTGGAAAGCTGCTCTGTGGAGAAGGACCTGGGGGTCCTGGTGGACAACAAGCTGTCCATGAGCCAGCAGTGTGCCCGTGTGGCCAAGAAGGCCAATGGGATCCTGGGGTGCAGCAGGAAGAGCATGGCCAGCAGGTCGAGGGAGGTGATTCTGCCCCTCTACTCAGCCCTGCTGAGGCAGATCCAGAGTGCTGTGTCCAGTTCTGGGCTGCTCAGCACATAATACACAAGGAGCTCCTGGAGTAGGTCCAGCATAAGGTTCCAAAGATGACTAACAGACTGGAGCATTTCTCATGTGAGGAAAGGTTGAGGGAGTGGGCCTGTTCAGCCTCAAGAAGAAACAAATTAGAGGAGACCTTATCAGTGTATACAAATATCTGAAGGTAGGGTGTGAAGAGGATGGAGTCTAATGCTTCTCAGTGGTGCCAAGCAACAGGACAAAAGGCAACAGGCAGAAAGTGCAACACAGGAAGTTCTACCTAAACATGAGGAAGAACTTCTTTACTGTGCAGGCGACTGAGCACTGGAACAGGTTGCACAGAGAAGTTGCAGAGCTCTTCTCTGGAGATATGCAAAAGTTGTCTGGACACATTCCTGAGTAGTTCTGTAGGGGACCCTGCTTGAGCAGGGAGGTTGAACTAGATGACCTGTAGTGTGCCATTCCTACCCTACCCCATCTGTGATTCTGCTTTTAAAATATTTATCACTGAGTATAGCATGTATTCACAATATAAATTCAGTTGACAACACATGGAAAGCAAGAGTGTAACTTTCAAAAATTTGCATCTCACTGAACATTATGCTGTGCGTGAATACTCACATTTATCTGTATTTCTTGCAAAAAATAAATGTTTAGTTTCACTTCAGATTAATAGTCCTTGCTATTTCCCTGCAATTTCACTTGAAAATTAATGATAATCTAAGTGTAAAAGGGTCAATTTGGAAATTTTTATATAACTTGCAATTCTTCCCTTCTTAGCTAAAGGTAGGGTAATACATTTGCTGTACAGCTTCAGACAGTAAAGGTTAAAGCAATAACTGAAATAACTTTGGTGTCAGAAAGTCTTAAGTTATAGTTCATTTTTACTCCTGGTAGATGAACAGTATATCAGACGTGGAAAAATCCACTATATTTTTTGTTAAGCCTTTTCAGCAAAAGTACATTATTAAATCCAGAATCATTTTTAATTTTATTTCAAGTGAATGAAGACGAATGAAATATGTCTATTCACAATTCTTGCACAGTTATGAAAGAATTGTGCCTACCACTTGTAAGTCTCTTATCACACAAGACACTTTGTGATCTACTGAATTCGAAGTGAGAATTTTAGAAACCAATGTTTAACTCACAGTGTCCAGTCTGTCCTACCAGGACTTCTAGCAGACTCCAAAGCATGCTGATCCTGCGATGCAGGAGGCTTTCAGGTATCTGCTAGAAAGTACAATTCAGCCAGCAGCAAATACTGGCATATCAGGAGAGCTGCCAGGACACATGGATGATTTTATTTCCCTCCTGTAGTTCTTTGAAAAATGAATTCCCTGCAAAGTTTCTCTAACAGTATGCTTGAAATAAGAGTTAAATATTCATACTTTTGAGAACATCCACAAAGGATCATCTAAAATGAGCTTTAATCAAACTGAGATTTGACATGACACTATTTCATTATACAGAACATTAAAATGAGTTCAAGCTGTATTTTGATACATAAATAAATTCCCTCCACATCTTCTGCTCCTGTTCTGCTCACTTTTCAAGCTTCTTGCCCAGTCTCCCTCTTCATTTCTTTTAGCATTTTTATTTCATTCTCATCTACCTCCTTCCATGTTACTGCCCACCAAACTCATTCTGCCCATGTTATGTAAGATGACTGTTTAGTCAAACACACATATGAGCGAATGACTTAAATATCTTGCAGACAGGAATAAAGGACCACAGTTACCAAATTTCCCTTTGATGGTCTATGATACCTGTTCCATGGCACAATTGTACACAGGAAATATAAAGTAAGAAGGGTCACAGGCACTAAGTTGTTGGTAACTGGCAGGTAACACTGCAAAGTCACTCCTGCATGGGATACTCGTAAGACAAGTTAAACTTGAGGAAAAATCCAAAGCGAGCTTGCCCAGTTACGCATTTCCCAAAGCACTAGCAATGGTTTACTTTCACAGAATTACATTGGCAATTTGTGCTTGAGCCTCACTACCATCTGATCACAAGCAGATGGCTATGCTTCACAAGCATCTGTCTGACAACAATTGCACTTAGTTACAGTCACAGGCAGCAATCACTTAGAAAGAGTTCTAAAAATAGACTGAATAATGTAAAGGTGACTTCTCCAGTTTCAATACATAACTGTCCCAGTAACAGAAAAATTATTTCAATCAACACATGCATCTAAAAAGTTCAGGATCAGTCCCAAATTGAAAAACGGGCACTCATTTTAATAACAACATCCAACTTGTTCTCAGGCATGACTCTTCAGTCCACTGTGAAGTGCCCTTCAAAAAAAGTCCCAGTTTAACCTTCACATGCATGTTGAGAAGTTCAGAACATGAGGAAAGCACTGCTAGATACCTAGAGCTGCCTACCTTACACTGAGGTATGAACTTGCTCAAAAACCCAAAGTGTGTTTTTAGATACTTCTTTCAGCTTCCTCATTTTTGCCAGCTGTTTTTATTCTCCTTTTTCAGACTTCTTCCTTACTTGCATGTGTCCATCTCTATCAAAAGAAAAACTAAGGCCTGACATTAGCATTTATTAGTATTTTTCAAAAAGTTATTTTAAAAATAATAAAGCCCTTAGTCAAGCTTCAAGTTTCTCATGTAAAATTTTATTTACTTGAAGATAGATTTAACTGCGAAGATTCCTTTGTATCTCAATAAATCAAAATCTGAGTCCCATGAAATGCTGTACTATCTCTTGGCTAGAGAAAGCATGTTTGTATAACAAACACTAGGGAGAAAAGAAAGTTACTGACCTGCCTTCATTCTGCTCTTTATTAATAGATATATTTAAAACACACTTGAAGATATTTTTGTGTACTGTTCCACTTTACTCTTAACATCAGAGCAGTTGAATCCAGGGAACTACATGGCTGCTTCATGAAACAGCTTATAAAGGTCATTCTGCCTTCCCATCTGACTGTGATTCAACTCAATCGACATCTGACTTCATCTTATTGCATTAAAAAGGAAATTCATATGGCACCCAAAATGAATGTATATGTTATGCTATAACTTACAATGGATGAAACTTCTCTTACTATGACTGATTCAGTCATCATCCTCATGGTCCTAATAGCTGGTGCCATAACCTCTGTGCTGTAAATTAAAATACTCTCCACAGGAATCCCATGTTTTCCCCTTCAGAAGAGCCTACTGTTTTTGACCTCAAGAGTTGAAAATAATAATAATTTTTTTTGAAGTACCACAGCTTAGGCTATCCCTGCAAGTATCTTTCACTTTCAACTCCAATCACAGACATTTCTCTGAGCATTCAACTGAAATGTTATGATCCACCAATTGTTACTAGCTGAGAATCTGCATTGGAAAGCTTGAAACTGCAGCAGCAAATACGAATGAGATGTCTAACTGACTTATCTTCTCAGATTTCTTTCCCTCAAAAAACCTGGCAGCAGACCTTGCCTGTGACATTCAGAAATTATATAGCTCAAGACCTGTCAGCACAATTCTGATGAGTGTCCAGATGTCGTACAAATAAAAATCAAAGGCTCTGAGCAGGATGAGCTAAAGCAGATTGCTCAGATCTGTGTCCAGTCAGGTCTTGCATGTTTTCAGATATGAAGCCTCCACAGCCTCTCTGGGCAACTTATTCCAGTGCTTGACAAACCTTATATAAAAAAAGTTCCTTTAATTCAAGCAAATTATTTTTGTGGGGACCACCAATTCGACCCTGGTTCAATATTATTTATTCCCTCCCATCACATATTACTTACATTGATAAGAACCCTGTTGAGTCTTTGCCTATCTAAGCTGAACAGTCCCATCACCTTCAGCCTCTCCATGACAAACATTTCAATCTCTTCATCACCCTTCATGGCCATTCACTGCTCTCACTATTTCTTGTTCTGGGGAGCCCAGAACCAGACACAGGACCCCAGATGGGGGCTCCCCACAGCTGATAGGAAGAAGGATTGACCTGCAGATGACTGTCCTAATTCAGCCTTGGATGCTATCAGCCTTCCTTCCACAAGGGTGCATTGCTGGCTGGTGTTCAACTTGGTGCCCCAAGGACCCCTTGGTGGTTCACCACCAAGCTGTTTTCCAGTCAGTTAATACCCAATCCGTACTGATGCATGGGATTATTTCTTTCCAAGTGTAGGATTTGGCATTTCCCTTTGCTGAACTTTAAGAGGTTCCTGTCAGACCATTTCTCCAGCCTGTCAAGGTACCTCTAAGTGACAGCAGACCCACCTACTGCATCAAGCACTTCTCCCAGTTTTGTACTGTGTCCTCCCCTTGCTGAGGGTGCACTGTGCCATCACCCAGGTCATTAATGAAGATGTTAAATAGTACTGGCCTGTGTGGACTTTGTGCTGCTGATAACAATCACATGAGCCCAGCAGCTGAGCCACACTGTCCAGTTATCTAGCCTGAACTGCAACAGGATGGCTGAAGCACCATATGAGCACCATGGATGATGAATATGAGGCTTCCTCTAGCTGTCTGAAAACTTACTAATTCTTCCCAATCACAATGTCGGTATTAGACACCCATAACAATATTGCCCATATTGGTTTGTGCATTAATCCTGACCCAGAAGTTCTCAACCATTTCAACATCCACTCCCAGAGCTCCATGCCTCTCTCACATAAAGGGCAACTCTCCCTCTTCAGCTTCCCAACTTACAATCATAGAATGGTTCAGGCTGAAAGGGAAGGTACCTTTAAAGATCGTCTAGTTCACCCCTAGCAGTGTGAAAACAGACATCTTTCACTAAATCACCACTCATTACTGGTTTCCTGAGCCACTGGACACTGGGCCACTGACTTTATAGACACGGTCATGGATCCAACTTCTTATTCATTAAAGAGTCCACCTGTCAAACCTGTATCACTCTAACAATAGCAGCAGGAATGTTGAGGGAGGTCCTATAGAAGTCTAGGTAGATAACAAACAGCTTTTCTCTAGTCCACTGATGCATTTATCCCATCACAGGACACTAAATTAAGTCAGGTCCAATCTGCCCTTAGCAAAGTACTGTCGGCCATCTCTAACAACCTTCTTGTCTTCCATGTATTTTGACATGTCTTCCAGGAGGATCTGTTTCATGACCTTACCAGGGACAGAGACGAGGCTTACTGCTACGTAGTTCCCAGAGTCCTCCTTTTTAACCTTTTTAAAAACAGGGCAATATTCTCAAACATGAATCAGATTACAGAATATAATCACTTCTCTGCAAGGTAACTCTTTCTACAGGAATCACAACAGATATGCATACATGTGTGTGTGCCTGTAGTGGGATAGGTGGGATGGCATTCATCTTCACTTAAAAACCATGCAAAACAAAAGGCCATTCATGCAGAATTACATATATTAGTCACTGAGTTAGTGACCTTTTCTTTAATATTTCTACGGCCTGAAGTATCCACATCAATCAAACAACATTAAACAAACAGCACATAACTTTTCCCTGCCAATCTTAATCATACAGACCAAATTATTAAGCAACAGCCTTGCCCATCTAGAACACCCTAAGAAAAACAAGACTACTTGTGAAGATATAAACCAGAAGCTGGTAGAAACTTCACTCTGTTTCACCAGTGTGTGAAGAAATACCATCAGATGAAGTTTTGTGATAGAAATTTCAGCAACACAGCCATATCCTGAACTCCCCCAACAGGGCAAGTTCCTCACTTGACAAATGGGTTAAGAGAGGAAATCTGTGCAAGAAAAAAAAAAAAAAATCAAAGTAGCTGGAGCATGGGTCCTGCTATTGACACATTGCTACCACAAGCGGCAGTCTTGGTTCAGTTCCTGGACAGGGTTTAGTTATAACTAGAAGCTGTGATGTTGAAAGATAATTGATTCTTGACCCACAATGATCATCTTGCTAAAATTTATGTTGCTATCCGTTTTAATTATTCATAGCTGCAACACAGCTCTGCATTCTCATCTGTTTATTTTAATGATTCAATAGATTATAAATCAAGTGACAAGCTTCACAGCCACTTTATAACAACATCTTCTAAGGTCTATGGTAAAATATTCTCCTTCATCCTCTGACTCAACTTTTTCACATAATTATCATATTAACTTCCTTATTTATATTGCAGTTTGTATCATGCTTCTTAACGAAATACTACATTTTGCTAGATTGGGGTTATTTTTTCCACTTGTTTTTTATTCTTTCCTCCAAACACACACGCATGTATTTTTAATAAGCAACTCTGCAGTTCTCTAGGTTCTCACTCCAAATAAACTCGCACCTAAAAATGAAATAAAAAGATAACTTACCCTAAATTATTTCCAAGTTTTACTTGAAGAATCTTTTTATTTAAACTAGAAAATTCACTCCGCTGTGCTAATTCTCCAAATAGCTCAGAGTAAGTGCCCTATGTAGGACACCTCACAAAGAGCAGTTACGAAACCACTGAGATTTAACCACACTGGCAGTTTTCCTTTAATCTTAGTCCTTCATCATTATTTCTGCTCTTTTGCCTACTAGGAGCATTACTGGTCATTAAAAAAGCTGTATTCAGGGGCAGTGTATCAAAGTAAGTTACAGTAAAGATTGAACTCAGTATCATTTCTCTAAATATTGCTCTCAAATGAAACAGCTACTTTGCAGCACCGTGCTATACTCTTGAATCTGAAAGTCCAAACTGTTTAATTAAAAATCTTCTTTCAGTATCTATGTAACATTTTTTTATAGCTGATTTACCTTTTTCATATGCAGGTGTATTCTCTTGCAGCAACCTGCTAAGCTGGAACCCATTCAAGTGTACAAAACGTAGTTGTTCTCTCATTGTCTTGCCTCCAACAACTGGCAGTATAAGGTTCCCAACACTATTTCTTGAAATTGGCAGACCAAGACCTACTGCCAGTGTGCTGGCTAAATCTGTTTGTTGCACACGTTCAGGCTGGGTTAGAGGACCTAGAATCAACAAAAGAAAAGAACGGGGGAAAAAAAATGAGAGAGGTATTTCAATGAAAGGTCCATTCTATTTCTCCAGAGACAGTTGGCACCTTATTAGTTTCAAAATTTTTTCATTGCTGTTAGCTCAGCTATTTCAAGTGGTCTACAGAGAGCTGACTGATCTTTTTCAGCTGCTGTCCTCTGCTGCTGTAAATCCAAAATTTATTAAATTCTCAGCCAGTATCACTCTTCAGTGCTAACAACTACTGTAAACACAACATGAATGTTATGCAAGTAAGAAAACAGATGGTCCAGGAGATCACCTTAACATCAAGTTGCAGCCCACATCCTAAGAGGGTTTCATAACTTTTACATTAGAAATAGCAGGAACCACTACAGGAGACTAATTTAATGCATGAACAAAGAATGAGAATCTAAAATAATGTTGACAGCATTCTAGAAGCTTCTCAATATAATGACAACAGCTCAAGATTCAATTAATATCAGGTTGCTAGGCAAACAGAATTAGAGATCAGGTAAAGAATGCTGAGGCTCAAAATCTGTAGCTGCATGCAGGCAAACTCAGTCATTTTTAAAGGGTTCTGTGCAGGATCCCATTAACTCACTGCAGTTATCAGGATTAACCTTCAGTCCCACAGACATTGGTACATGTGAATGATTCCATTAACATAAGCAACCTTTTGTTTAAGACTGCTGTGCCAATTGTTCCTTTGCATGTTGAACTAGTTACGTAGCAGTGCTTTTCTATTACGCTTTTGTTTTGTCCTCGTTGTAACTCCAGGCACTGAGTGTTTTAACTTAAGCACAGTACAGAAAGAATTCTATATAGTCTTTATTACTCTCAAGGCTCCCTTTAAGAGCATTAGAACTTCTCTCATTTCTCATCTATCTAGCTCCGATTAATCCCATATTTGTACAGAATGCCATCTATAATCCGTAAAGCGTCTTTGCATGAGTGCCTGTATGTCAGCAGTTTTCACATTTTATCTTTAAAGGCAAGTACTTAACTGGTTAAAAAAAAGCCAAACTACCAACTGCATTTAGCCAATCATGGGTGACGCATCTCTGTAGAAGGCTACACGAGTAATATTCTGACAGCATACTAAATGCAAAAAGCCCACAGGATTACTATTTTGAGGTCTACCAAATTAACCACAGTACATTTTGTTTACAGTAGGATCATAAGGAGCAGTCACTAGAATCCTAATTATTGTACCAATGAGAAGTAAACTGCTGGATATTTACAAAGGCATCATTCGAAATCACAAACTCTATCCCAAAAGACAGGTGAAGAGATATATTTCACTGTATTATAAAAACAGCATGTTTAGTTTAAACTTAACAGAAAGCAATCCCAATGAACAGGAGATTGCATTTACAGAATCTACACTCTCATGGCCTGGCAGTCAACACATACTGGTGAAATTCATAAAGCAAGAGCTTATCCAAGAGCTTTGGTCTACTCTTGACTTTGTTTTGTTTTTAGACCCAAGAAGAGTTCAATGAGTCCTCAAGCAATGCTTTCTATTGCAGTTGAATAACAGCCTTATAAATGACAGACAGAAAAATGTACTTTACTGTGCTGCAGGAACCTCCAGCAAGATAAACAAATGAAGGTTCTTCAAACAGGCTTTAAAAGCAAAGAAATCAGATGGAAATGAGCAAGAGGCAGAATGAAAGGCAGAAGAAAGCACTGTAAGGGAAAATATTCACTTCTGGTGAATATCACTTCACATTTCACCAATTCACTCAGTCAAGGAGTTTCTTTAAGTACTACTACAGAAATTAGACTAAAGATTCTCTACCACTCCATTTCCTTCGTGCCTCTTACCTTAAGCTATCTTACTTTTATCTTTCATTATTATCTACAAGTAGAAAATCAGTTTCAGAAACATATCAACTCACATCAATGATATAAAATTAACTACTTGGCCAATACAGTAAATACATTCATGCTCCATATTCTTTCCTTAAGGCTTAGCCATCAGTAGTCATGTTTTCACTGCTGTCACCTCTCATCTCTTCACAGAGCAATTCTTCCTCCTGCCTGTTAACTCTCAGTATGAAAAACTAATTCATTTCTCTGTCCTAGCTGAGAAGGAAGAATGGAGGCCAAGGAAATATTCTGGAAAATGAAAGACAAAACTAACTTCAAATAGGATTTTGCTTCTAAACCTATTCATTTACCAGTAGCCCAGGATCTTGACAACAGATCTTGTTAGCTCTCAACACTCAGCTAGGGTAGTACCGTAGAAAATTATCATCCAAAAAATACACAATTCTCTCAATGGTTACAAAGTTTAACTCATGGTTTTATCATGATACGGATGCTAGCTTTAGCTAAAACCAGAGCTTTGGGTCACATAGAATGGGCCTGGCCAGATAGCTGTAGAAGAAATCAAAGTACTTTTCAGGAAGAATTCTAGAGCAAGTATAAATCAGAGTCGTCAATGTGTCCTTGGTCTGGTTTCAGCTGGGATAGAGTTAATTTTCTTCCTAGTATCTGGTACAGGGCTGTGTTTTGGATTCAATATGAGAATAATGTTGATAATACAGTAATGTTTTAGCTGTTGGTAAGGCTTACCCTTGGTCAAGGATTTTTCCATTTCCTGTGCTCTGCCAGTGAGCAGGTACACAATAAGCTGGAAGGGAACACAACTGGGACAGCTGATCTGGACTGGACAAAGGAATAGTTCATACCACAGAGCATCTTTCCCAGTACACAAACTGGAGTGAGTTGACTGGGGGCTGTCCATTGCTTCTTGGGGACAGGCTGTGCACCTATCAGCAGGTGGAGAGCAATTGCACTGTGCATTACTCGTTTCTCTTGGGCTTTATACCTCTCCCTCTCTCTTTTTCATTACAATAATAATTATTATAATCTACATCTAATTATTGTTGTTGTTGTTACTGTTACAGTCATATATGGTAGTAGTATTCTCAGACTATTAGGGTGCACTATGCACTGGCATCCACTGGAGCCTTACACCAAGTACCACACAACAGCACACTCACTCACGCCCCCACCCTGGGTGGGAGGACAATCAGAAAGAAAAGGTAAACCTCCTGGGTTAAGACAGGAACAGCTTAATAACTGAAACAAATAAAATATTATAATAATAGTAGCAATGAAAAGGAGAGAGGGAGAGGAATCAAACCCAAGAGAAAGAAGTGATGCACAATAAAATTGCTCCCCACCTGCTGACTGATGTCCAGGCCCTTCCCAAGTAGAGATTGGCAGCCACCAGTTTATATACTGGGCATGATGCTCCATGGTTCAGAATATCCCTTTGGCCAGTTCAGGTCAGCTGTCCTAGCTATGCTCCCTCGTGGCTTCTTTTGCACCTGCTCCCTGCCAGAGCATGGGAAAACAGGAAAGTCCTTGATTCAGAGTAAGCACTAAAAATATCAGTGTGTTATCAACGTTATTCTCATACTGAATCCAAAACACAGCCCTGTACCAGCTACTAAGAAGAAAATAAACACTATTCCATCGGAAACCAAGACAGTTCTGAAAAAGTTCTTTGATCCTTACCACTTCTCTTTTCAAAAGCAGAGCTGATAAACAGAAGAGGTGTGTGCACTTCTCCTTCTGAAGAACCACCATGACTACCCGTTTCAGACATCCCGTGATCCCCACACACAACTAGCAAATTGGGCAAAGAAGCTTCTTCCTGCAAATCACAGAAAAAAAATTAATTTATTGTACTAGCACGAGTCATATATATCACTTCACTATCTCTATCATTTTCAAACATGAATATGTCTCAAAGTGAATTTAATTTTTTTAAACTTGCTCACAACACCTGGGGCAGATAACAAGAGATGTATGTCTGCAGCTAAATGTCGTGCGGTAATAGTAATTTTTAGAAGTTAAGGCACATACTTACCAGACTTGTCAATATATTAGGAAAAAAACTCACCAAAAAAAATCCCAAACTTTAAAAACCCCTTAATTTACAGTCTCAAGAAACTCACCAAAAGATTAAATAAAGGCTATTACACTGCGGGAAGAAAATCAGGAGCCCAGGAACAGTAGCATTAACAGAGAAGTATTTCCCACTTCTTTTCTTCACCTTCATTGAGTTTTTAGTATACATGCTGAATTATTAATATTGCAAATGGTAAAATCATATCAATTTAATATGAAAAAATAATCCTATTTCTAATACTCTCTAGTGTCTCAAGTGTTTTTGGGATCATGACTGATGTTAAACAGTGCATATGTTTCTGAATAAAGAGAACAACAGAAGCATATGTGAGGCCTGTCCAAGAATTTTGAGCTAACAAATCAAAGATGGCAGAAAATAAACAGTCAACCCGCAACAAAGTCGATTTTTGTCATCTCTAGTTATTACCAGTACCTGTTCTACCCAAAAAAGTAAAGTGCCTTTATTATTCCTCTATTCTAAAACTGAGATAAAGGCTTTCTGTTGACAAAAGCAAACATACTAAAAAAGTGTAGCAAAACCACTACGACATTCATGAAGCTTCCACACACAGGATTTAATCTCTCCTTTCATACAACAGTATCCATTCCTCTAAAAGTACTACTGAAATTTTGTGAGCAGCTGCTCTGAATTGCAGTTGCCAAAAACAAACAAGAAAAATGCTTCGGGCCACTTGGAATTAGGACTTGGTAGTTCAACATCCAGACACGGATGTTTAGGTAATTGACAACCTGTATATCCAAATCTAAAACCAGGTTCAGATGTGCTGCATTTAGCATAAGACAAAATGTAGTTTACAACCACCATTTCCATTTGAATTTTTCAAATATCTAAGAATTAGGTATACCTTCATAACTGTAGACATTAGAGCCATTAGCTTTACATGCCCATTACTCCTCCCGCTGAATTTCATTACTAGAAAGCACACCAACCACTGCCCTAATTCATGAGGGATAAGAGAATTTTGGCATGCATTCCTCTCGCTGTATACCAAGAGGGAGTATTTCCCTGCTGCTCAGAGGAGGCTCTTAACAGATGTTACTAAAGTCAGCCAGTAAATCCTTAAAAACGCTACACTGTACTGTTAACTGGGGAATGTCCTGGGAAGGGAAGGAAAAGAACTGAAGAATACCCACTTCAGTCCAGGAATAAACGAGCTACCATCCACAAACAGCGAGCATTTTAATGTCAGTCCACAACTAACAAGACACTGATCCAAGAGGAAGCTATATTACCTTTGAAAGAAGAGAAATATGAATCTTCTTCAGTATGTTATCCATTTCACGAAGTTTCGGTCCCACTAATGGGCTGTTTGGCCCACTAATATGTCCAATATGGTCCAATCCCAGGTAATGTAGTATTAGGATATCCCAGTCTTCTCTCTTTAACACTCTATCCAAATGCCTGGTAACATTGTCATCAACCTCAAAGAAAAGGAAAACAATTAAAAGGTAAAAATAATTTCTCTCTTGTAAAAAACATGGAAAAATTAGATTGCAATACCCATTAAAATTCTGCAGAAGTTGATGAGAATTACAGTCACTCACAATGTTAATGAGAGAAAAAAAATCAGACCAATTAGTTCAATGTCAGGCAGACAAATATATTTCTCTTACAAAAGAGATTCTTCACCCCAATTACTTGTTTCGGGTCACGATGCATCAGATTACACACAAACAAGGCAAACAGGTTGCCAAGCTTCCACAGAAACTTAAACCACTTTCATCCTTCACACTCCTGATCTCTCACTTCACAAATTATCAAATACATAAAGTATTGTAAGCACAGGGAAAAGCCTCTGTTTAGTGCTTGGAATCACAGGAGGGCAAAAAACCCACACTTGCTTTTTCAACTCAGTTTTTGCTAGGCAAACACAAAAAGATTGTACTTGCTGCAAGTGAAAGAACTGGCAACACAGTGAGAAAGTAAAATTATTTAAAAAGTGCTATTTGGAGCCTAACTTACCTGTTTTCCTGCTTAGGTTGACAATGCATTTTTAATTGCATATCTTCTCCCTGGATATTAAAATTCCTTATGATATTTCACATGCAACATCACTTTGCTGACTCTGGATATAATTACCAAAAAAATCTATAAAAAGCTGTGTGTTTAAGAGACTATATTCAGATAGATAAAGACTGCCTAAAGAGCTTGAGAGTCACAAAATCACAGATCCAGCAGCATACTTGCATTTTTCCACTGTATGTTGAAGCTTTTGCAAGTTTTACTAGTGTAACCAGTTAAAAGTGTCTTCCAATCCATTTAGACCTTTCTAACTGCCTTACACATGTTAATAAAATATGTCAGTAGCAGTGGGTCAACAGCCTGAGGTTTAACAAACCATAAAGGTTCAAGAATGAACTAAAATTGCCAAAGCATTTACTCTTCTAGTGTGTCTAGAGTAAGAATTTTCACAATTTGTTTCATTTACTTTCTATGCTCCTTCTTTGATAACATAATGAAACACTACTCCTATTGCAATTACAAAAGTGATGCAATACTACAAAAGTATGCCTCTAGAAGACCAAGAGAATCTATTAATTGGCCACTTAAGGACGGCATTAACTAATATAAATACGACAGCAAACTGGAAACGTGGATAGTGGAATTTTTAAACAAAGCAACTGGTCTAACTTCCTACCACAAGAAGTTTTGTAAGAAAATCGTACATTTAGGAAAGTTATACAGTAACTGCATCATCCAAACACTTCCCACAGCATATGCATGAGGGACTGAAATGCTTAGCTCCACAGTGCCCATACCAACCACACATGTAAATCCAATTTCTATTTAATTGCCAGGTGCGTATTTCAGAACTAGGACAGCTTTACTCATTCACTCTTAGAAGTTGCCACCGTGTGTTTGTATTCATTTTATTTACCTTGGGATCATACAAAGCCTCTCACCTCTGTAAAGTCTGACACAAAAAACGATGTAGTTCCATCATATTCCATGAAGTGCTTTGGGAACAATTTAACCCATGTATCATCACCATAAAAGATTATTCTTTTCCCAGCTGCTTTTGCCTGCCATATCAGATTGTCATCTAACAGAGCTGGAGAATTGAGGTTCACAACAACATCAATGAAACCAGGTATGCTACCCGTCATCAAAGCCTACATGAAACAAGAAAAGAGACAACATTAACCAAGAAGCTTCCAGGGATCAGAAGACAGTAGCAGTGTAAGCAGGAGGAAGCAATAAACCAGATGGCAGGCAAATTATTCTTTAAGTAAAGAAACATGAAGTAAAAGAACACAGGCTGCCCTGACACATAACCTCACCTGCCACAATACAGTGCTAGTTGATGTGAGAGATAATGATTGCTTTACAAAAGGTAAAAATAATATTGTCTTAACTAGTGGACAGCAAAATGGCTTTGTATGACTCAGCTGAAATTTGTTTCATTTACTAGTCATTAAATCACCAAAAAGATAGTTTAGAAGGTCTAAGTAAACTGACTCAACATTCACAAAGATAGTACATTTGAAACACTAAATAAGAAACGTCTAGGAAATGAAATGAAGTCCACCTATGAATAGTTACCAGACTGTTTCCCCCTCACTCTCTCACTGGCCTTCTAGTTGACCTACAAAGATCACTCCTCCAGCTTCTTCAATGAAGAGGAGTCACTCAGATCCATCACTGACAAGCCTGGATGATCAAGTATTTTGATGATATCGCCACAATTAATCTTTTAGTTACATGGAACTTCACACAGTTTCCTTTTTAAGGTCTTCAAAAACATCCTTATGACAAAACAATTTAATAGTAAACTGGATTTTCTATCCAAGTTACAAGAACACAGAGAAATACCAATAAAAATATTCTTGGATAGAAGACCAGTGGAAAACTTGACAACTGAGAGGCTGCTGGCTTTCCCATGACTGCAAATAAAGAGATTATGCACTAGGGCCTTAACCTCTGGGCGATGGCAAATCAGGACTCTATCACATGCACTCCTACAGCAAAGAGAGATTCAGCCACAGATTGCACTAACACAACAAACCTGTCCTTTATGCCAACTCCAAGCACACAAAACAAACACTTCAAAACTTTATCGAATGAAATGGGGAAAAAAACCCCAAACATTTACCTTAATTCTAGGCATAGTCACAGTAGGTGGCTTCGCTTCAGCAATGAAGCTGTAGGAAGTCCCTTTTTCAACAACTTGCGTAGTATATGGCATGAACTGTTTCCCTTTGGATCCAAACACAAAGTCATCTCTCAAAGCATCTATCAGAACAATGACAACTTTATTGAAAAGCGGTGCAGGAATCTTGGTCCAGTTAGAAACCATTCCTAAGCAACAAAAACAGGGTACACAAAAGTCATTAACAAATTTTACCAAAGACTAGACAGAAGTTAAAAGGACAACTTCACAACAGAAATGAGTCTTTCAACTCCTTTATTATTTTTACATTTGGAAATGAGAAATTGCAAACAACAGCCAGTGTGAGAAGTAATCAGAGGATGCTGGGTTTTCAGGCCATCCAGCACAGGAATAACACAACTGTAACTCCAGCACAGCATCTAGGAAGTAGAACAAAATGTGAATGGAATGTGTGATGTGAAATCGGGAAAACTGAGGAAAAGCTTTGAAATGGAGAATGGTCAAAGCAATAGGAAGGGGTAGCTGCTACTTTCTCTCTTGTTAATTCATTAAAGCTGAACTGCATATATCTGACAGACTTTTGTTAGAAAAAAGATGCTGCATTCTCTTGTACTAATGCACAATTTTGCACATCAGAACACAAGCAATGCCTCTTAATCAAATCTCACCATAAGATAACAGGAAAATTACAAAGAAATATGAGATAGCAGGAAAATTACAAAGAAATAGACAATTTCACTGAAACTTGAAGGTAAAAGATCTGTGCACACTTGCTCCCTTCAAGGTAGAAGACTGTATGCCAGGCTAGTTCGGTGATGGCAGCTGCAGGGCCAAAATCCAATTCCAGAATTCCCAGAATGTGGTACAAGGGTGGGCACAGCAAAATGCTGCTGTGCATCAAGCAGTAGGCAATGTCATGCCTTCAGGGTCACCCTTCTCTTGCACAGACTTAATTCTGGCTGCAGCAACTCTTGATCTGCATTGAGCTTGGTCCACATGGTGACATTAAGCTCTTGGTCCACCCTCTACAAGTCTCATTTCTTTACCAGGAAAACACACAGAAGGGCAAAAATGGAAGCAGAATGCATCCTACCCACAGACCTCTACTCAGACAAGATTGTGTTTACTCAGTACATGTATTATATAAAGCTAGGGTTTTTACACTCCTTTAGAATAAAGTTTGTTTCTGCATAAGCGGTTGACAATTTGGAAAGGTCACAGATAGTGGTGTGTATAACACAAGAAACTCAAAAAAAAAAACCAAAAAGCAAAAAAACCCTCAGAAACTGTATTTTGGAGTACACAGATAAGCATCAATAAACTGATATTCACAGACTCATTAGTGCTAATGATTTTTCCAGATCAGAAAACTATGGAGGAGGGCCCAGCAGGGGGAAGAAGGAAATCTCAAAAACACTAAAATGCTAACTACCAGCAACCCTAATTAAACTGATAATTTTGGTTCAACAGGACTTGAATTATCAACTAAAAGGCATGCTTTGGCTCTCCATGAAAAACAAGAAGGCATCACTGGATGTACAGTTGGTAAAATCTTTCTCGTAATTTACTCCTATCCACTTGCTCAGTGAAAGAAAGCTTCCTGGACACCAAAAATGATCAGATCATAAACACATATACCCTACTCCTAAGTTCCTCCTGCAGTGTAATTCATCAGTAAGTCAAAGTATTGAGAAGTTCAAATGAATTCTGAGTCACAAGCCATCTGAAAATACTTATTGTAAGATAGTGAAAACGACACATGGTGCAAGTCTTGGCATGTGGCATGCTTATTTAGGGTTACTTACTTAGAGAACAGTTACTTTAAATGAAGCTGAACTTCTGCAAGCAGTGAAGAAAACCACAGGTTCTCTATCAAAAACTTTCTACAATGATGTGCTGCAAGGATTCACTATTACAGCCATCCCACAGGCAAGACAGCATGGAGTCAATGGCAGTCAGGACTCACAAAGGAAACATGCAGGAAATACAGAGGCACTGGGGAAATAATCTTTCCTGAATAGACCTAAAGTAGGTTGAAAGCCTTCTGCATCATGTGTTTAGTAAGCAACACCTTGCCTTTAGAGCTTATAGTCCAGACCAAGAGATCACTGTGGAAGCAAATCGTAACCCAAGAACTACAGAAAGAAAGTGTTCTTCCACTGTCACTCCATTTTTTCCTACTACACCTGGGATTACTAGTGACACGCCTAAATTTAAACTGCCTGTAGAGCCCTGTGGTGCACACTAATACTCTTCAGCACAAATCAGTCCTTTCAAAACCCAGTTATCTGACACCTCCATCCCACCCAAGCAGTCTCCCTCTGCATTAGGCTCCAGCCAATAATCACATGTGAATGCAACATTTCAGTCACAGCAGCCTATCAAACATCTCTGGCAGTCTTGGTAAACTCCAGCTAAAAAGCAACCTGCCATCCACAAAATCCACTCAGGTCTGTAACCAGATTAGATTCTTTCATTGTTCCTGCTTAATTGGTATCAGCACATCACATTCTAAATTACACAACCTTCTCTTCCCTCCACTGCGTCTCACAATTCAAGTAACGACTCGATCCTTGTGGGTCCCTCCCAACTCAGAATATACTGTGGTTCTGTAAAAAAAAAGTCACACGCTTTGAAAGAATAATAACAAATAACAAGCAGCTGAAGACCCAGTTTGGCAGGTACAGTCCTGTTCCACGAAGTTACTAAGTAGATGTCCCAAGCAAGAGCTTGCAAGGAGCAAAATAACTCCTACTCCATTCAGCTGCCCACTGAAGCTGAAGTTTCACCCTACAAGCTCCAAACACTGCTGAAGAACACTCCTTCAAGTACAAAGTCCTCTTCTTCACGTTACTTTAATGCAACTTGAGATTGAACATATAAGAAAGTTATATTATCAACATGTCTTCTACTGACTCCTCATTATAAAGACGCTTGAAAACTTTGGTTTCGCCAATTCAGCTACAGAATAGAGCAGGACCTGTAAAGGCGGTGATTTCACAGAAATCGTAATGGACAGCAATACTGTGCACGTTGCAACCTGCATTGCTACAGTCACTTCGTGGCTACTGAGGTGCTAAAATCCCAACGAGGTGGGGTTAAGACGCTCACACAACACAGAAGCATCGCAGACACGATGGTTCTTGGGCACAACACAACCAGCGAGTTAACAGAGCAAGCACTCAGGTGTTTGAACTGAGACGGCATCATTTAATGCAAACAACTTGCCATTAAACAGGAGGGGTACGACGGCAACATCAGCGTCAGGGAACGGGGAATAAAAGGACAGGAAAACCCTTCAGAGACGTGACAGCTGACGCTGGAGGCTTTTTGCCACAGTGAGCAGTGCTGCTGGCAGTAATCGACAACTACATGGAAACCAGCTAAGTTCTAAACTGCTCCGGAAGCAGTTCTGGAAGCACGAAGGCGTCTCCAGAAAGGTGTCCCGCGGCACCGAGGGAGAGGGCGCGCTGGGCGGCTGCTCGCGTTACCTGGGCCGGGCGGGGCCGGCTCGGCGGGAGAGTCCGCACGGGCCTCTCTGCGGGGCAGAGACCTGACGGGCACCGGGAAGAAGCCGCGGAGGAACAGCGTGACGCCCAGGGCCTGCACGAGGAGGCAGGAGGAGGCGAACACCCCCGAGCGCAGCCGCATCCTGGTACGGACCCGGCGGCGGAACCGGCACAAGCCCCGACCCGTCCCGGGCGCCGCTGCGCCGGCTCTGCGGGGCGGCCCCGCCGGCGGTCCAGCCCTGCCGCCGAGCCCCGCCCCCGGCCCGCGCCGACCAACCAGCGGCCACCGCGCGCGCCCGCCGAGCTTCGCTATTGGCCAGCGGCGACCCCGCCCCTTCTCAAGCGAGAGGCGGCAACGCCGGGCCGGAAGTGGGGCCCTGTGCACCGCCCCCTCAGCCGCGAGCGCGGATCCCGAACCGGCATCCCGCGTCCCGGACCCGCATCCCTCATCCTGCATCTCACACCCGCGTCCTGTCTCTTCCCCCCCTCCCCGCGTCCCACTCTCCCGTCCCACCCCTGCGCTCCGCACCCCACCCCGTGTCCTACCCCTGCGACCCACCCCCAGCGTCACACCCCGCCATCCCACCCCGCCATCCCACCCCGCGACCCGGCCCCGCGTTCCCCAGCGCAGAAGGAGCCGCTGGAGCGGGAGGTGAAAGGAGACTTTATGTAATGTTGCCACAAGAAGAGCATGGCAGGTGAGGAAGGAGTCCAAGCCGGGGACTGTTACAGGTGTTTGGCAAAGCAGAACCTTTCCTCTCCACACACGCACACATCTCTGAATACAACTGAATAGTGATAACCTCTCAGTCTTTCCACTGGAATGGAAACAGACTGGAGCAGGTGGGTCATGGCAGACGAGCGGGGAGAAATAAGTTTTAAAGGTTTAATTTTCTGAAAGAAGAAACCAAAGACACTGCAAAGTGAAGCAGTTTATACTGGTCTCGCTATTGCTCATGGAGTTAGGATGATAGCCTCGGAATTTCACTCTTCCGAACAAAACTGCTGCTCATCTCTACCGGGGCGGTTCCTGTATGGCCCACCATTCCACCAGCAAGGTGTGGCAGGTGTTTCTGCGGCGTAAGTGACAAGTCCTTAGCATTACCTGTGAGTGGCACGTTTTCCCTGATCCCACAAGTGCAGTGCCCCAAGGCTGCACTCACATTTACACCTGGACTTGGCTGGCTGGAGTCAGTCCCGGGACGAAGCTGCACTGCCACAGTTTGCAGCCCTCACCCACAGCTGCGTGTGTTGATGTGACACTACAAGTGACTCCAGAGTGTTTTTCCTGCTGGGCCTTTTGCCTCAGCACAAAGTGTTACCTGTTTTGTGTAAAGGCAGGCCAAATATATTGTACTGTGCTTTTAAAAATGTTTTCTGGCTGGGGTTTGTCAGTCTGTGGTTTTACTGCCAGTTTTTGCTGGCCAGCTCTCCATACTTTGCAGCAGCTGTCACGAGGCAAAGTTGTCCTGATGTGAGAGGCATGTGTGAGTGGGTTTGGGATAAAAGCTTTGTGTAACTTCAAATTCCTTTTGGCCTTTCCTAGGGCCTCCAAGCACAGGGAAAAAATCAAGGAGCCTTTTGTCCTGTGGGTTCGTGCTATTTACATGGAAGATTGGGTAATAGATCTCTGAGCACTGTGATACCTTTAGGCTTCCTAAGTGCTTTTTCTGGTCACTCTTTACTCATTATGCTCCTACTCAGACTAATTCTAATGTTTTCATTTCCTAAGAAGATCCAAAGCCATTATGTTAAGAAGAAATTGCATTTTTGCAGATGCTGTTCACTTGTTTCTTTCCAGAAGCATGACTCTCAAGGCCCATGAAAATTACTATTCAGTAGTTAACTGCAGCTCACTATGGGCAGTGCAACGAAATTCAGAGAGAACATGCAAGGCTTTGGATCAGTAGGAAAGGGAAAAAGGAAACATTTGGCCGTTGTGTTCAAGATTAAAATTGGCTTTAGGTAACGTGCTTTAGAGTTACATTATTTGTATGTTCAGAAAAGCTGTATTTGTTGCTTTTCATGGGGGTTTTCTGCTCTCCTTTAAACCTTGAACTAGTGAGTGAGACTCTTCAGGCAGAAAATAAGAAAGATTCACTAACAAATATAAAGCACCCTAGTGTGGGGGCAGTGTTTATAAATCACGAAACAGCATCTAAGAAACATCTGTCTTTTGCTTTCATGGAAAAATATTAGTTTCCCTTGCAGGAATAAGGTGGAAATTCCCCAAAACACTGCAACTTTCTCCATCATTTACAGACATAGATACACTTGCTGCCATGTGATTCACATTCCCCAGGACTTGTCTCTGGGCATTTACTGAGTACCATCATCATTTGGCAAGTTACTGCAGCAACACGCTTTCAAGTCCATTGCTATTGCACCTAGCTGCAGGGATCAAATATAGGGAAAATCCTGAGTGCTGCACAAGACTTTAAATCTGACTGAGTCTATGAGTCTATGAGCATAATTACAGCATAATATACTCACAATCACTGCTCTGCAGTTCTGGGGCCATTTTACAAGTGTTCGAGTATAACCTACTCTGTTGTGCGTAACACATTTACGCCCTGTGAGAGCTGGTGATTTCATGAGAATTCAAAGGAAATGTTTTTATGCTCCCCAGGTTTTAAGCACGCAAACAGTGTTGTGTGCATCAATTTGTGTCAAGGGGCACTGACTGACTTAAATAGCCTATAGAAGGTTAAAGGTTCATGTCAGGGTGTCAGAAAAGTGCATTAAAGTGCAATTCCTGTGATTCAAGAGACTGTAGTTTCATCAGGGCCAGCAAGCATTTTAGAACACAGTGCAACTCATCCATGTGGGAGATGAATTTGCATCACTCCTTGCAGGAGCAATGTATTGCCACTCAAGCAAACTTACCTCTCTGTGTCTTGAGGAAGAAGAAGGAATTTGAGGTTCTGTGCAGAGCCCTCACTAGAGGCATTGTTTCAAATCTGCTGAGAAATCAGCTGACAGAAAGCCAACCAAGCCTTGTCTTCACCAGGTGTACCTAGCACTGGTTCCTCAACCAGTAGGAACATGTTTTGGTAAGCCTCTTTGCAACCAACATTTAAAGCAGCCAGGTGATATTGTTAATCTCTCTGGCATGCCTCAGGGCTTTTCTTTACTAAGGCAACAAGTAAAAAGCAGATAAGGCAAAAATTTGGTGTGTCCCATGAGAGAGGAGCACACCACCTTCCAGCAGTCTCTGTGGCCTCTGCCAGCACTTAATGAAATGCTGCCCATTAGTCAGCACTCAGCATGTCTGCTTCCCCCACTCCTTTTCTCCTGATTCTTTGACTTCTTATCTTTCACATTTTGTCTGGAAAGAAAGGCCAAATCTTCCATTCTCCCCTAGTTTCAAAGGCAGCCAATATGCAGCCAATTTCCTCGGTATCTATTTCTTCTTTCCTCTTCTCTTACTTATTTTGACTGATTCCCTTGTAGTTTTGCTCTCAGGTCTCTTTGCCTGGTGTTAATAACTTCTAGGGATCTGCTGCTTACCACCTTGGTCTTTGAACTGCCTCAGGTGTTCTCCCTCCCAGGGCCTAATTTAACAGGATTTCACATCTGAGTGTGTGTGTTTACGTGAAACCTGCACATTTCTTCTGACCTTGACAAGGTCAGATATGTGAACATGTCATGACAGTGGTTTAAACAAGCATCCTTTTCTGTGATCAGAGTGATACCTCTTAAACTTGTTCCTAATACATTCAATACTGTATTGGGGAACACACAGGGGAGTGGCAACAGTGGCAAAATTGATGTGTATAAGCAAAAGCCACCGTTTTTACACACAAGGGGTGTGAAGCATATCAGTTAAGTGAAACAGGAAGAAAAAAAAACCCCAAAACCTACTTCACAAGGTGATCTGACTCTCCGAAAGCACTACTATGTAGTTTGAAATCCAGAAGGACACACAGAAATTTTTTTTCTGCTATCATTTCTCCATTCTTCAGTACATGGCAATTTGAATGTATGTCAGGTCTCTGCTGTATTAAGCCACAGTAAAATATCAAAAAAGGTTAGCAAAGACTGCCTGCTGAAGTGTGACTCTCCCTCCTCCATCCTGGTGCACTGCAAAGTCTCCAGAGGTTTGTAGTTGCTGAACAAAAAACAATGCAGAAGCACTGTCATTGTAAACCTGCTTCTCAAATCTTAGACTGAATAGGAACCTCTGCACATAGAGGAGAATTGAAAAGAAAAAAAAAATCAATAGTTTTATCCACATCAAACAATTGTCTGTCTTTACAGACACACACGTGCACACGCACGCACGGGCTAAACCTGCCCTCAGGTTTAGCTACTTTGGAAACTATGCTTGCAGAGCTTATGGGATTTGAGATTGAGGCAACTAAGGGATCACTGAAGAAGATAGCCCCTGATAACCTCTGAGGTGGTGAGCTGTGGGAAGCCAAAGTCTGATTTGTTTCTGTAGACTGCAGACCTGCTACTTGCCTGCAGTATGAAATTACTCGCTTTTGAAAGGGAGGCAAAGCTGCAGAGCAAGAACTAATTGAAGTAAGAGGCTGCTTGTTAGTTTCCCCCAGAGCCCTGCACTCAGAGCTTACACAGCTTAGTAGCAATATCTCTATCCCCCTTTCTCTACACAGGGTTGCAGAGAGATGTAAACAGTCATTCTGTCTTAAGAAAGCCCTGGCTTTAGAGCCACATTTAGAGTGCTCATCCAGGCAGGTTCTCTCAGAGCTGCAACCATACACTGGGATCACTGAGCATGAACCCCACATGGAGCTGCTGGTTAGAACAGATCACAGGATGCTGTGACCCAATGGTCATTTTTTACTTGGTCTAAATGGGCTGGATAAAATGTGAACAAAAAGGAGTAAAACCTCAAGGAAAAATTCCAAAGCCACTTAAGTAGATGTACTGATTCTGGTAGTAAAAACGTCTGAAGCCCCTGCGAAATGCCAGTAGGCTCCACCAGTCATCTAACCCTCAGGGCAGGCACTGCAAGAAGGAGCCAAATCGGGGCCCAGCTAAAGCAACAGCTTTTCATTATGCGTGAAAATTAACCATAATCTCTCCTCCCTAAA